TGTTTGATTATGCTCTTGATGTTGGCCATTGCATCTCCTGACTTGTTCCTTGTGATTAGTCGAGTCCATGGATTTGAGGGGAAAACATGGGGTGCCCGATACATTCAAACACTGCTTCAGTGGGATGATCCCCAAATATCTCCAAGTCGCGGCTTTCGATGTGTCGGGATCTCTCGGGTTTTTCAGTGACAGCTTCAAGATGCTTCAAGACGTAGCCGCGAGAAGCCACCTCATTACCGAAAATTGGCGAACCTCACTATAGACTGACACATTTCCTCTTGAGGATTTAGGCCTGTCTGAAAGGCGAAGTGAAAAGCTGTTGGTCAATGTTGGCCATCATTCTCCAAATTCGAACGCCACATGCTTTTTTTTTTGTGTAAATTATGGTACCTGGTACTGTAAATTAAGTACCCCATTTTGGGACAAATCCATGGGACACGTTGGGACACATCCACCATGTACATGATAATTACTTGATTCAACGGAGGAAGATTCCCCAGCAAAATTCCCCAATAATCTTTGAACCGTAGCCGTTGGACCTTTCACCCGTGGCAAGCCGCGGCTGGCTTTGAACATGTCGGGTCATGGAGGCATGAGAGGTGAGTTGATTTGTTGGGGGTTTGTAATGGAGATTTACCCCCAGTGATGGGATCTTATATTGGGATTTATTTTGGGATAATAAGAACTAAGAACCATCTTAGTCTTAGGGCTTAGGGATATAATGATTCCAGGATATGAACTACTTGGGTTTGTCCAAGAATAGAGGTTTCACCACCATTGATAATAGCCAATTTGTCTGGCGAAAATGATGATCAATAATCAAGTTTGGGCCGCCCTGAATCGATAAGCCGTCGTGGTGGATGAATTGTTTGGGGCAGCTTGTCCCCAAAAACATTAACCACATTTAAACACCTTAAAAGAGAGAATAGGACTGAACCAACAACTGAAATCTCATTCAACTTTGGATTGAGTTGACATGCAACCTCGTTTTCATGCAGCTTGCTGGCTGTTTCGGCGCTTTTTTTGACGGGCTTTTTTAGTGAACCAATCCACTATATCCACTATGGGGGGATATCCCAAATTGCCATTTGAATGGGGGATATTGCGATCAACCATGGCAGCCATCGAGGTGCTCTAGTTTTGGAGAAACGTCGGTTGTTAAACATCCCAGTTCTGTGTGGCTTCACCGGTGGACTTCCCATTGGTGAACCTGCTGGGGAGTATATAGGGAATGTCATCTTAGGAGAATCCAACCATGTTGTATCTATGTGGGGAATGTGTTTGTACTTGTTGGGTCCACCTTAAGAAAATCCAAGGTAATATATTGTACCCATATTTTCAATGAGTTTTGAAAGATGCTTCCGCAAACAACTGCGCCACGCATCAGGTTCTGCCATCCGTTGATTTTGTGGCAGGCCTGGCCTTGCTTGTTGTGATTGCGGAAAGAGTTGGACGTGGAGAACTTTTACATTTTTTCTTTGACATGAAGCTGAAGCTTTGCACGTTTCCCGAAGAATATGTGGACATATGAACGGCGTTTTTGGTTTGACATTTCCACTGGGATTGAATCTCCAGACAATTCTGAGTTCACACAGTCTTTTAGGATGACCAAAACAAAGGCTGTGCATGCCATCAGTTATGCTACCCTGCAGAGTTTGGTCCGGAGCGCAACGAGAATGGGTCATGTCAGGCAAGGAGTTTCCTTGTCTGATGGACAGCGAAGTAAAGGAAAAAGTTGCAACATGTTGCCACTCGGATTTGTGGCCTTTAGCCATCAATAAACGCATCATCCAAACAAAGCATCTGCCAGAAAAGCAGGTGATATCCCAAACTTGGAAAGCTTCCATGAAAATCCGTGAAACCAAACCAATTACCCACCTGATTATTGGTGACATCTCGATATCCTCATCTAGCTGGGATGAAATCTCCATGGTGCCAAGTTGGTTGAGCGAAAGGTGGCATGGCTGCATCTGCTGACACCTTTGGCCCTTCAGGGCTGATCTTATAATGCCATCCCATACCCATGGGTCACCAACCTGGGTGGTTGAATCCTGATAAATCCCATTGAGTTGCATAATATATTACAATATGTATGTACATATATATATAATATTATATACATACACAGAAATCTCCCGATTTGTATTACTCCATCATATTTCCAATTTTTCCGATGAAGATCATTCAACGTTTACGTGAAATCGAAATTACAACCTAGTCATCCACTCACAAATCTCATTAAGTTCCATGAAGTTCCAGTTCATAAATCCCATTAACATCCCATTTTTCTGATGACAACCGCATTTTCACCAAGGATCATTGCGCAGTTCAACGTCATCTACGACCTGGCAGCGGCCCATGATTTTACAACTTCCGATCCGACAGAGTTGGAGATCAAGGTGGCTGAAGATGCTCACTACCTCTACAAGAGCGTGCCTTGGATGCGCCACACCACTTGGTGACGAGTCACCAACAAAAATGGGACACAACCTGAAAACGGTGCTATGAAAACGCGGGATACAATGGGGACACGCTCCGGGAATCAAAGGTGGGACATATTCGCACTGAAGGTTTTGGATGGGAAAACCCGGCTTTCATGGGCCATTGCCATGTTCCATTGCCCCAGGGTATACATGGGTACCCATATAGTCATAGTCATCCTCAAAAGAAAGAATTTGGAATTTTCAAAGAAACTCTAATAGATGATTATATATTCATCCTGAAGTAGATAGAATATGGGATTTTAAAACACATTCCCATTTTTATTGATGAACGGCGATTGATTTCAAACACGGGATTATCTATGAAGACTTTTTCGGGATGTGAATGACTTTTCTCTCACACGAGAAAAAAACACCAGGAAGATAGGAAAAAATCTATCCAAACACTTATCTATTTCCGGATTTGCGAAGAAGTTGATCTTTGATTCCCGCGCACAGGATTGATCCACTAGAAATGATGAACACGGTAAAGCTAGAAAGATTGGACAAGACCCAGAAAGCTAATCCAGTGGGATGCTCCACCAGAATTGGGTCTGTGTTACTTGGTTATTCGGGTAATCAATATTATATTTACATAGAATTTAATCCTTTCCCCCTGATATTAAATCCTACCCCACCCAAGACTGAGCGCAGTGGTGTTTTCACTATTTGGGGGGTTTTGATATTGAGGTCCTGAAACGTGGTCGGTATCTATAACTACTATTCTCCCAGGGATCTAGTGCAAAGGTATACTTGATCTTCATACATGACAAGTTAGATGATCGTTGACATGATATTGGATGATTGGATGATAAAAATCTATGTTTTGGATCTATATAATTTGTGTTCCAGATTAGATATTATTGAGGGTTCCTTTGGACTCATAGTCACCATGAAATGATATACATACAGGAATCGCCATTGGATTTTGATTCGAATTCGTTTAGAAGTAGAATCACTTGATCCAAAGAATCAATCATAGAAAAAAATATGGTTGTGATTGGTTAATTTTCACCTATTTTTTCTATGGATTATGGTAATTTTCACCAGAATATTATTTAGAATCAATCACCAGAGGAATATCACCAGAATAATATGGTAATCTATGGTGATCATAGGATTCCAGAGGAATATGGCGGCCACTCCCAGGCACTGACCATTCGTACCTTGGCAGAAGAGCTCCAAGAACTGCTCGAGCGATTCGATGGAGATACAGAGGAGCGATTCGGGGGGAGATGTCTAAACTACCATATTATAAGATATATAGTCTAAATTGCTATGATATAGTATAAACTGCACGTTTTTTTGGATTTGCATTTTTTGGCAGATGTTTTTCTCAGCAAACATCGACATGTCTCACAATGATGAATGGATCCCATCCCCCCAGGGATGAATTGATCCCCCCGCTGGGGCCGAACAGATCAAGTACTTCGGGCAGGTTTCGTGACTGAGGGTATTTAATCTTCGGGACGTGATGATTCTTCAGGAATCGGAACAGCAAAAAACCATGTCGGATGAATTTCTGAATAAACTCTGCTGATTACTTATGGGGGTTAGTGCCAAAAAGTCACAAATGATATACGACTAAAATGGGACCTCCCTATTACTAAACTGGGCTCATTCATCCTGTGTTGACATCAAACAAGTTTCCGAATGCAGCCACTCTTCTGCAGTGTTGGGGAGTGTGAAGCCCGGCGCCTCCATTTTGGCGGTGAGTCTCCAACTCTTGACATTCAAAAACTGGCGAATGTCAAGCTCGGATTAATAAAGCCTTGTTGATTAAAAACCGGGGTTCCCCCCAAATAGTGATAATTTGCTACTGAAATGATTGAAATGGTACCCCTCCAATTGAACAGCCGTGAACGGGGGTTTATGAATCCGGGGTTGAAATTACCCTTCTGAGGAATCACATTCTAGGATTCTAGAAGGTCAGACGTTGGATTGTGACCTACCAATTAATTGGGGGATGGTCATACCACCATAAAAATGGGAATTCTTTTTGGCCGTACCAATTTCATGGTGAGATGACCATAAGACATAGAATTCATTCCCGTGGTACCTCATCTAAATTGACCATCGCACATTGTGGCAATAGGGCATGCCTGCGGTTGGCATATTTTTTTTTTAAAAAAATATTTTTTTAAACGAAGTTTTTTTTTAAAAACAAGGCTGAAATCCATGACTTGATAGTAGATTTTGGGGTCAAGATGGGTATCCCAAAACACAACCAGATAGCTTCAAATCGGGTTATCAATGGTTATCAATGATCTATTGATACAACACTGCTGACTAGTGATTGAAAACTCCCAGCTATCGCCATCGACTATTCCTACTTGGCCGGTAGTTCTACAGCCCATCGTTACAGGACTCTGCTGTCGATGTGACGCATGCCGACACTGTGAACGTCTTCGAGCTGTTCAATGCACTGCGGAGGTACGCCTGCGACATGCTCACTGAGGATGTGGATACGAGCATGGACTGGGGATGGGCTACCAAATCTATCTTGCAGGTTTGCTGTAGAGTTCAGCAGCTGCTCCAACTTCCTCTAGGATTCCTGGCTTTGCTGACTCGATGTCAAACGTTTTCAGATTTTTCACCACTTGGAAAATCTGTGTGTTTTTCTTCTGTGGGGCGGCTGCAGCCAAACAATAAATCCCAGGATGGAGGAGTCTTCAATCTGGAGATTTTCAGCAAGCGCAGGAGTTCTTGGAGGAGTCCTTGCGAATCTGGCGCGAAGATGAAGAGAGCGGAGGTTCTCACCAGGCAAAGTTTGCTGCAGCACTTCATGGCTTAAGCAGAGTGAGTCTTCATTACAAAGATCGAGACCAGGCCAGGCAGTATCTGGAACAGTCTCTGCAACTCAAGCGCCTTTTGGGGGACCATGATGACCTTGCCATGCTGCTGGCCGAATTGGGCCAAGCGACCTACTTGGCTGGAGATCTTGTGGAGGCAAAGCAACATCTGGAGGAATCCCTAGAAATCAACCGTTCTTTCTATGGGGAAGAGGAGAATCTTCCGGAAATTGCTGGGAGGCTGCAAAAATTGGGTCAGGTGAGTCTGCAGGCTGGAGATCTTGAAGAGGCGAAGAAACACCTGGAGGAGTCTTTGCGCATGTTTCGCTCCTTACATGGACATGTGGATCACTCAGACATTGCTGCGACACTGTGTTCATTAGGTGTGACGACCAGACGGGCTGGTGATCTTGAGCAGGCGAAACAGCAACTGGAGGAGTGCCTTCAGATGACAAGGTGCTTGCATGGAGATGAAGATAACTCTGCCCTTGCGGTGTCGCTGCATGAACTGAGCAGGGTGAGTTGGAGGGCTGGAGATCTCGAGCAAGCGAATCAGTATATAGATGAGTCCCTTCGAATGAAGCGCTCCTTGCGTGGGGATGAGGACCGTCTGCCCATTCGTCTGATGTTGCAGGAGAATGACGAGGTAAGTCGAACTGCTGCAGATTTGGATCAAGAAAAGCAACAACTGGAGGAGTCCTTGAGAATCAAGTGCTCTTTATATGGAGAAGAGGATCACCTTGAAATTGCTGTGACACTACGTTTTTTGGGTGTGGTTTGTGTGGAGATAGGAGATCTTGAGCAAGCCAAAGAGCGTTTGGAGGAATCCTTGCGAGTGTTTCGCTGTTTGCATGGGCATGTAGACCACCCTGACATTGCGGAGACTCTGCAGGGAATAGGTTTTCTCAGTCAAGAGATTGGAGATCTTGAGCAAGCGAAAGAGCGTTTGGAGGAATCCTTGCGAATGTTTCGCTGTTTGCATGGGCATGTAGACCACCCTGACATTGCGGAGACTCTGCAAGGAATAGGTTCCATGAATCGACAGGCTGGAGATCTGGAGCAAGCAAAGACACACTTGGAGGAGTCTTTGCGAATGTTTCGCACTTTGCATGGTCATGTGGATCACCCTGACATTGCGGAGACTCTGAAGGGAATAGGTCTGGTGAGCGACGTGGCTGGAGATCTTGTACAAGCGAAGCAGTACTTGGAGGAGTCCTTAAGAATGAAGCGCTCCTTGCATGGGGATGAGGCGAATTTTGACATTGCTTGGCACCACCATGAAGTAGGCCGTGTGAATCGGAAAGTTGGAAACCTCGAGGAAGCAAAGCAACATTTGGAGGAGTCTTTACACATGTTTTGCTCTTTGCACAGGAATATGGATCACCCTAACATTGCTTGGACCTTACATGAAGTAGGCTGGGTGAGTGCACAGGCTGGAGATTTGCAACAGGCGAAACAGTACCTGCAGGAGTCTTTGCGAATGGTTCGCTCTTTTCATGGGAACCTGAATCACACTGACGTTGCTTGGACCCTGCATGAAGTTGGACGCATGAGTCGGAAGGCTGGAGATCTCGAGCAAGCAAAACAACACCTCAAGGAGTCTTTGCACATGTTTCAATCTTTGCATGGGCACGGAGATCGCCCCGACATTGCCTGGACCCTACATGAAGTAGGCTGGGTGAGTCAACAGGCTGGAGATTTGCAACAGGCGAAGCAGTACTTGGAGGAGTCTTTGCGAATGAAGCGTTCTTTGCAAGCGCACTGTGGTTGCCATGACATGGACATTGCTGCGACGATGGATCTATTAAGCGAAGGACGAAAGAAGGTTGGAGTGTGCCAGCGAGGGAAGCAACATTCGGAATCCTTGAAGATGCTGCGCTCTTTGCACGGGCAGGTGGACAACCCTGACATTGCTTGGACCTTGCAAAACTTAGGCATGGCGAGTCAGGAAGCAGGAGATCTCGAGCAAGCAAAGACGCACTTGGAAGAGTCTTTGCAAATGTTTCGCTCTTTGCACAGGCATGGGGATCACCCTGACATTGCGGCGACCCTGGATCTAATCGGGAATGTGAACAGGCAGAATGGAGATTTTGATCTGGCAAAGAAGCACCTTGAAGAGTCCTTACAAATGAAGCGCTCCTTGCATGGGGGCGAGGATCACCGTGACGTTGCTTTCATGCTATATGAAGTAGGCCGTGTGAATCGACAGGCTGGAGATCTCGAGCAAGCAAAGATGCACTTGGAGGAGTCTTTGCGAATGGAGCGCTCTTTGCATGGGCATGCGGAGCACCGTGACGTTGCTTTCTTGCTATATGAAGTAGGCCATGTGAATCGACAGGCTGGAGATCTCGAGCAAGCAAAGATGCACTTGGAGGAGTCTTTGCGAATGGAGCGCTCTTTGCATGGGCATGCAGAGCACCGTGACGTTGCTTTCTTGCTATATGAAGTAGGCCGTGTGAATCGACAGGCTGGAGATCTCGAGCAAGCAAAGATGCACTTGGAGGAGTCTTTGCGAATGGAGCGCTCTTTGCATGGGCATGCGGAGCACTGTGACGTTGCTTTCTTGCTGTATGAAGTAGGCCGCGTGAATTGGCAGGCTGGAGATCTCGAGCAAGCAAAGATGCACTTGGAGGAGTCTTTGCGAATGCATCGCTCGCTTTACCGATGGAAGGATAATCCTGGCACTGCTGCAACATTGCATGCCTTGGGACTCTTATGCCGACAAACCGGAGATTTGATGCGAGCAAAACAGCAGCTGCAGGAATCCTTGCGAATCCAGCGCTCTTTGGGCAGGGACAGCACTAATCCTGACATGGCTGCAACAATGGATGCGTTAGGAGGGATCAGTCGAGTCGAGAGAATGGGTTTCTGAAGGAATGCTTGAAGGAGTCCTTTTGAATGTGGAAGGCTCCATTGCATGAGTACATTAGGGCTAGCTTGCGCACCAGTGCAGTGTCTGATTCCCAATTTAATTCCCTTGCTTAATGCCTACAGAAACGAATTCGGCCGGTGAAAAGATGGATGAATCAGAGGGTGCTCTGGGGATTCTTTTGAGGTTCAGGGAGTGAAACTTGCATGTTTTTCGTTGATCTTTGTCTTTCTGTGTTTGTTGGGACGAAAAAAGCCGGCAAGGATCAGCAACCCAACGGTCTTGTCACCCCAAATTATGTGTTCTGAGGCATCCCTTGCCCAGCGAAAGCGAAGATTTTCCTGTTGAACTTGGAACTTTCCAGCCACTTCATGAATTGTTTGTCGGGTCTCTGTATTTTTGGATACCTCGATGGTATCCACGTCTTTTTTTCTCCGGTTGATGAGATGATATTATCCATAGGATCTGCCCATTTTTGTTCTCCCCAAAGTGTTCCTTTGCAGTGGCAGGTGGGCCAACGGAGGCGTGGGGGGCTAGTGAATCATGAGTTTTCTTGGGGATTTCAGAAGGAATTCACCAAGAAAAAAGTGCAGATGTCAACTACAAATCTGGTGTAAACTTCAAGGTGAATGGTTGTATTTCATGGGACGATTTGTAGCCATTCGGATGGACATCGATCTGAAGGTGGGTTGTGAAGAAATCGGTTGGGTTGTTGGGTGGGTCATCGAACCCCAAAGACAAGCAAAATTCGGCAGGTACTTGAACATGCCAGCCATAGACTTGTATGTAATTCATTGCCATTTACTTTTTTTGGACATACCGGAAGTATCAGCTGGGTTGTAGATAGGAATTGGGCATACTCCACAAATAGACTTTGTTGTTCGATATCCTCCGGTCTTGGTATCTAGGTCCCGTTCTTCCCCAATGACCTTGAAATCATTGACACCCCGATCTTGGATGATATAGACATCAAAAATCACCAAAATTGGATTGTTTCAGAGCCAATGGTTTTGCAGTCAAAATAGGGCTTCCTCCACGGGATCCCAATCCATCCATTGATCCATTGGTGAATCATCAAGAAATCCCTTCCGCCATCAATTGAGGGTGAAATCATAACCCATTTTCAGACATCCAAATGACCCACTGATGAAACATAGCAGGCACGGCATCGGATGCGCCATGAGATGTGCGTGGCTGAAGAAAAAGAGGGTCACCGGTCACGGGATGGGTTTGGATTTTTTTGGACGTGCAAGGATTGGTGAAACACGGTCTAGATTTGGTTCTTGAGTCGTCCTATCATGGAGGGCTCCAGAAATCGAACGCCCCTCCAAGAATGGACGCGAGATTTTGGTGAGTTTCTCTCTGATTCGGAGGTGGATTTCCCTAGAATCGCGACCAAAAACGGTGCAAGAGTTTGGGCTGAAGATTGATGGCTCAAAGCATCCAAGATGGCATTGCCATTGCATCAGTCCACTTTGAAACTCTACCAGATTCCTCAACATCAAAACACTAAGGGAAGAGCTAGCATGAACCAAGCATGGCATGATGTTCAGCTACTTTGTTTGAATTGTTCCTTTTTTTTTCTGGGATGCCCCACATTACAGCAGTTTCTACTTTTTGTTTTCTCAAGAAAAAATAAAGAACTCACAAAAAATCAGGTGCAACAAAATGGTGTCACCAAACAAGGTCCAAACACCGCGACGCCATTTCTGGTGTGCAGTTCTTGCGATGAAGTCGAGCTTCCCTGCCCTGGAGAAGAAGGTGGTATCGACTTGGCTATGACGGTTTTTAAGTGAGAGCAGGGAAACTAATAATTGCGATCTTTCTCGACTTGGGGCCTAGTCAGACTGGTCACGTCATACCTCTTGACATTTTTCAGCGAATTAGTGGACCTCTCTTTTTTGAGGTGTTGCGATTGATGGAGTAAACACATCCACGACATTTTGAGGTGAGGTCGTCATTCAACACAATAACACCCCGTCGATTCGTTGAGATTATCCTGTGGAAACTGGGTTGGAAGATTTTCCGTCACGATCTTTTTCCCAAGATCCCATCTGGCAAAACATTCATCAAGTACAGTAAAATCCCATGAAAAAGCACTCAATTGCCATAGAACAAGCCCCAAAGAGATGACGAAAAGTGTGAAGCGAGGATGGTTTGATGACATTTGCGATAAATATTTCCAGGTTGCCCATAGTTTCCCCCTTTTCGGCATCCATTGTGGGGCAACAAAAATCATGCCAAAACCCCTGGTCCTCAGGTGCCCGAGAACAAAAAGTGCGCTGCCGGTTACAGGATTTTTGATGGTCAGTCTGGATTCATGAGGGTAGAGATCTACTCACTTTGAACATGTCTTTGATTTACCCTCTGGTAATTTAGCCTATGGAAAATCAACATGTTTCACAGTTTCACAGGACATTTTTCTATAAACCGGCGATTTTGCACAGCTATGTCAGCCTATACCTGAGGGTAATTTTTACTTTGTTCAAAGAACATGTGAAAATCAAACAAACTCCAAGTTGTTTTGGAGGGAAAAAAACATCCCAATTTTTGTTGCTATGGATGTCCGCCTTTTTTTCTGGATCGTTCATTTTCCCACCAGGTATGCCCACATCGGCAGTTCCATCGACACGGGTGCCTCTGCGAAAAAGGAGAAGGTGCCGAACTGTTGATGCGAACGGCAGCTGAGGTTTTTCAACACCAAGGTTCGGATGTTTTTTCTTAAAAATGACCAATAAGCAGTTGAACCTTGGTGTTGAACCAAAAACGGTTGGAAGCAGTTTTCAAGCGGTACATGTTTTTAAAAAATGACCAACCATTACCGTTTGAAGCAGTTGGTTTCACCAACGGCTTGCTCAAACAAAACACCAAGTTTTGGATGTCGCTGAGTCGCTTTTCCAACGACCAAAGACTCGATCGGATTTCACGGCGTGATTTCCCACAGGGGATATCTCATACCCTCTGGCAATCCAATATCCAATGTAGCCAAGAAAAGCTATGGAAGCCATGGCCACTGTGGATGATTTAACCAGAAAAAGAGGTGTTGCTTTTCCATAGCTATGTTATACAACATCATTCTCGTGTCCTGGCAAACCTTGCCATCTTCGTCTCGTGTTGCAGGTACCCCCTCCTGATTCTCTTGATTCTGTTCTTCATCCATCCCCATGTATTGCGTTGATGATGCGTTAGTACATACCATTCATTTCAGTTACATCTCACTATGGTTGGTTCTAGTCATAGTTGCATATTCTCATTAAATATCCATAGTGTTTCTTTTTTGCCATATATCTTGGAACCTGCATGGCGAACCAATGGCGATTGAAGTATCCTCAGTGTTCGTTCACTCCCTTCGGAGGTAAGATTCCCAGTTTCAGCATTTCTGATGCTCGTTCTGGATAAACAACTTATCTAAACGAATTGTTATCGGTTGAATTCCAAATTCAATGCTTACATTGGACTTTTTTGCTTAAACAAGAGGATTTCAATCCTTATAGTTGCGATCAACAAATTTCGTATTTTGTCAAACTTGGACCCTAACTAACGCACTTTCCTGGAAGTGTCAGAGCCGTTTTCAAGCAAACTTCCAGCCATAGAAACCTTGACTTCTGAATTTGGAACAACTATCTGGTGGGAGCATTCAGTTGATTCTCCGGAGGTTTCCTAAGTCATGGAGCTACTCCCAGTTCCAATCCATTTTCATGGATTGTCCATTACAAACCATCCAGCTATCGGAGTACCTCCATAGTCATAATGACTAGTGACTATGGAAACACATGGAAACCCATTATTAACCATATATTAACCATTATTAGCCATGATACTTAACCATTATATAATAGTAACCATGAATATTAACCATACTTCTGCATTAACCTTGAATATTAGCGTACATTAGTATGGTATAACCATGGTATATTAATATATGGTTATACTAATGTATTAACCATGGTATATTGATGGGTACTCCCCGGGTAAAGTCTCCATCTCCTTGGAACAGCTCCACTCCGCCAACGTGACGGCGAAGCGCAAAGACGAGGCCCGGAACGGGAACTCCGTCGGAAAGAAGCCGGGACGGCGAAGGGTTTACCGTTTATCTGTTGTAAAGATATGGTTATAGTGTGACAATATGTTACAATATGTTACAACTTTAGTTAACTGTTATATAGTGATATATCAATATAGTTACAAGATGTTTCATTGACTATAGTTACTGATATACTATCGTATGTTACAATATATTATAGTGATATACTGTTTGTTGTAATGGCTACCCCAATGTCAATCGATGGTTCATAATTCTCATAGCCAGATAATATTTCATCGGTGGTCCCTTGGGCCTCAATTTGTTTACAAGTTGGACGTTGGTTTAACAACCGGTTTCACCCATAAATCTGGGTAAATTATAACGGCCTCACTGCGACCTCACTGGAATCATGGTTAGTAAGGGAAATCATCCCCAAATGGTCACACGATTCACATTAGTGATTTTTTTCAAATTACCCAGATAAATATCACGAATGGTCTACTAGTTGTGATGATATAGTTTGCGGGTTTAGCAACCATAGGTCATCAAGGAAAAAACATGAACATCTAAGGTGAATATTAGTCATCTGACAGTTTTTAACCAGATGGTGAACATGTTTCTTGAATCATCAGTAGATGTGAATAGTTATATAATACACCATTGATGGTTTACTTTCCATAGGCATCTAGTCCATGATTGACATTGACAATGGCAAGAAAAGCCCTAGCAATGATTGAGAGATACTAAGAGTAGCAATTTGTATCAACAATGTAATTATAAACTGTTTGATATAAATGTTGGCAACTAGTAGTCATAAAAATAGCCTAACAATAATTATCTAATGGTTGATGTAAATGTTACCCTCTAATATTGAACGTAGACCCTGAACATAGCCCATTTAGAGGAAACCAATCTTCCAGCCCCGTATTTTGGCAGGGTCTATGCTAGGTTTACTGGAGGGTAATGGTTTATATAAATGCTATGAACCAATAGTTTTGATAGTGATAGTTGAATAGTTGGTGAATAATGATTGACTCATATTTGACAATGGTTAATAGATGTTAGCATTGATCATAGATGTTAAATGTGATTAATAATGTTTAATAGATTTTGACAATGGGCGAATGTGGTTCATAGATGTTAATAATCAATAGTGCTTATCAGTCAACCCAATGGTTAATCATAAGAGTGGTCGACAAAAATGACATGGGCATATCTATGGCCATATCCCACAGATAAATTTTCTTTCAAACCTTTTATGGGGGTTCCATGTTGTCCTGGGTCAAGGGTATCTAAGAGCTGGTGTCGATGGATATCCCCATAAAACAGGCAGGAAATGTCCCGATTTCTCCGAAAACTTGGACGATAACTGGAAGGGTTCCATCCATGGTTTCATGCACGAAGGGTATTCAAATTCATAGGATTAAAACAAAACCAACATCTACCAATATTGTACATAATAGTCTATTAATAGTTATAATATGTCATAAACTGATAGTTGAATGATCGTCCCTGAATTTTTGGCGTGGCAAGCATGGTGATCCTAAGTCAGCTATGCTATGCTTGCTGTTGTTTGGTCATATTTTTCCTCATCATGGGCTTCTTCAAAAAAAAATCGGTGAAAAAGACTAAACACAACACATTTGACAAAAACCCCTATAAACACCAGGGTAATACACCACACAGCCAGGTTTTCTATAGACATTTGACAAGGCGCCTGAGTTGTGGTCACCACCAGGCTGTGCTTTTTTGAAAAAAAATCAAGACCTGGCTGGCTGCGTGGGATGATTTATCACCATTTATCACCATTGCTAACCATCATTAACCAACCATTAATGGTATCCATTAGTGGTTAATGATGATTAGTGGTTAGTGTATCATTAACCAATGGTAATATCCATTTATCACTAACCATTTATTAGTCCAACCATATGGCAGTGTGTCAAAACCATGGAGCCAGCCCTTTTTGTTCACATCAAAATAGCTGGGATTTATGGATGTGAATAACCCCCCAAAAATGGTATTAATAGGTATTGATCCATACCCATATTGGTGATTTTGCTATCCATCATTAATGGGATGAACCATCCACGATTTTTTTATGAACCATTTTTCTAACTATCATGAAAACCACTATAAACCATCAACCATCATTCACCACCATTTATCACCATCAGCAAAACCATTAGAATCCCATTGCAATCCTCCAAACATAGTCTTAGCCCCAAAAAACCTTCAAAATGTCTTTTCTATTTCCATCATTCACCATTCACCATCATTAATCATCATTAACCATCATTATGGATTAATAACTATCAGTATTAATCCCATTATTAACCACTATTAACTATCATTAACCACTATTAACCATCGAGAACCGCAGATCTTCAAGCGCATTCGGCCCATCACCTTGGTGCGGCTGCTGCAAGAGCGAGAGGCGCTACACGCAACGGGCGTGGTTTTTAACGATGGGATGATGGGAATTCTCCATGGTTAATAGTGGTTAATGATAGTTATTAATGGTGAATAATGGTTAGTTAATGATAGGAGAATGATGGCTAATGATTTTTGGTAAAGGTTAATAACAATGGTGAGACATGGTTGGTTAATGATGGTTAATGATGGTTAATGATGGTGAATGATGGTTAATGATGGTTAATGATGGTTAATGATTCACTTGGTATGTTACTGATGAGATGATTTTGGGATTTTTGGTTAAGATGGTCAATCAGAATGGTTAATAGTGGCTAATCATTTGGATATCTTGAATACTCATCATCCCAAATGAAGATATCTTTGATCCGTGAGATTCATTTTAAGGGATATCTTGAAGGATAGTTTTTGGGATATTTTTGGGATGAATTGAAAACATGACGATTAGTATGGATAACTTTAGTGGTCCATCGAACTTTGACCCATGAAATATTGGTTTGTTTGAAGAAGCTACTAGTAGTATATTAAATTCAGTGGATAAGAATATTAGAACATTGTAGCATGCATCCATTGGTGCAAATATTCTATATTGGGAATCATATATCCACTGGAACAATTGTATATCACTTATGCATATGTATATATATATACATATATAGCCGTTTCAATGGAGAATAACTGTTGTACACAAATGGAATAGATACACTCCAACAAACTCACATAGACATGACACGGTTGCACCATTTGTAGATCATTTTACTTCGGAATTCCATGGATTTTCCATCAGAATTTTCTGAATGTTTACTGGAGGGTAAGGCCACATGACATTTGACTGATTAAACCATCACTTTGGTTATACCCTCTGGTTATTTAATAGTTCGCCATGGTATAGATGGCCCATAGAAATAGATGGTTTGCCTGGGTTTACCTATTATAAATGGGTGGATCTTTCCATGGCGAACTGTTAGTCATAACCAGAGGGTAATTATATCACCACGTTTCTTGGTGAACTCCCAGTGGTTGATGAAATCGCATCACTTTGGTACTTTTCTGTTTGAAGGTTCCGATACGCCTCTCATGAAATCACAATTTTTGCCAATGATATCAGGCTTTTTCGATTTTTTCTTTCTATCATAATTCAACGGATAAGCAAAAACATTCATTTTTCATAAAACCATTAGAGTATATCCCATCAACATCCCATCATATACCGTAATGACGTAATGGGATATACTATATACTGTTTTCTACCATATATCCCATCAACATCCCATACCCCATTGATATCCCATGAAATCATCATGTTTTCTGGTAAAGGAACACACCCTGAAGTCATGAAGATTCCTATAGAGTACAAATTCTTAGTTCACATATTCCATTATGAATATCCCATAAATATCCCATGAAATCACCATTTTGATCCGGTTTTCTCCAACCAAACCCTCCTAAAGTCATATATATATATAATATATATTAAAGACCATTAATATACCATTAGCTATCATAATTCAACTATAATTTCCTTTAAATCCGCACTTTTTGTTGGTTAAATCCCCATTTTTTCTCCAACCAACCCCTCCTAAAGTCATATATATATATTTTCACCATTCATTAGACCAATTAGTTCATATTAGTTCCCAAAGTCAATATATTTCACCATTCATTCTATCATGAGTTCCTTGAATCTTCAGTTCCAGATCCCATTTTTCTCCGATTTTCCCGGGTTTTCCCATGGGATTTCTCCATGACGCGCGTTGCGCACACCTGGCAGGTCTCCGAGTCCGTCTACGCCCTGGGCCCGGGCTGTGGCGATGCCCGCTTCACGGACGGGGCCTCCTCGGTGATCGCCTCCAAGGTGCCTTTTACAATGATGGTGAAATGAGGATAATGATAGGTTACCCTCTGGTAAACTAACATAACTATGGAAAATCATCATTTTTAATGGGAAAATCGACTATAAATGGTCATTTTCAATAGCTATGTTAAATTACCAGAGGGTAATGATAGTTATTACCCCGCTGGTTATTTTCCTATTTTTTTTTTTTATGGCTATGTTAGTCATAACCAGATGGTAATGGTTAATAATGGTTGGTCGACAATAGTTGATGATTGTTGGTAAAGGTTAACAATGGTGAAACATGGTTAATGATGGTGAATGATGGTTGATCTATGGATCATCATGGGATTACAATGGGATTCTAATGCTTAATGATGGTTAATGATGGTGAATGGTGGTTGACATAATAGTGGTTAATGATGGTTATTAATGGTTAATAATGGTTGGTTAATGATGGTCAATGATTGTGAATGATGGAAATAGATGAAGCGAAAATTTTCAGGTTGTTTTGGGGCTAAGACTAAGACTATGTTTGGAGGAATTTTTCACAGAACAAGTGGGGGAACAGAGATTTTTGAACTGGGAGGGGTGAGAAATAGGTTTTTTTTGGAAGGTTTTTTCTCACCGAAAAAGTTGGAGAGAATGTAGAGCGGAAAGCCTAATATTTTTGGGTGTAAAAACCAATATCTTTTTGGTTAACATTTTGCCTTAAAGCAAAAAGTTGCAAAAAACGGCATTTTGGACCAGCAAAAATTGGGATCTTTAGTGGGATGGTTTGATTGGTTTCACTCAAAAATAGCTTCCCTATATACGTTTTGAGACAAACCCAACATTTTTATTGCTGAAACTTTTTTGTTGCTGAAACATTCTATGCGAATCTCACGATTGTTGCTTGAGCATCTCTTGATGCGTCAACCAGCATTTTTGCCAGTGAAACCCACAGTGAATGGCCGGTGGAATCTATATTTTGGCTGCCAAAATCCACATTTTTGGTGGTTTTTGGTGGTTAAAACCCACAATTTCTGTCGCTTTTCAGCTGAACCGCGCCAGGGCCCGGTGCCGGTGCCGCCCAGTATGGCGTCCGTGACGTCTGTGGCGGGGTCCGGGCGATCCCAGTTGCGGGGAATTCTTGGGCTACAAAAAATGATGGATTTAGCCTCCTGTAAACATGTACATAGATGATCATATGTAGATGTAGCTATGGATCAATAGCTATAGATACAATGTGTGAATGGGGATGAACATCCATAAATCCCAGCTATTTTGATGTGGACTACATGGGTTTCCATTGTTTTGACCCATCCCCTTGTGGAAAATCCACCAGTGATCATTCATAGTATATCTCCATGACTTTTATGAGATTTTAATTCGAGAAAAATGATGATTTAACCAACACAAATAGTTATTTAACGGGAACCAATGGGAATAATAAAACCCAGCAGTTTGATGTAGATTATGAATAATACATAAGAACTATAGTGACTACAATAAGAACCATTGCAGGGAAATTTACGCAGAAACCGCGCTTATTTGAGCAGCCAGTTCTGGGTTCCAATGCCCACTACTCTACAGTTGGAACATCAAATCTGAGTGGTCCTAAAAACCGGGTGTTCCCGATTTCATCCCATTCAACACCTGAATTTTCCCCAAAGAAGACATCTTGATGAGGTTTCATATAGATTAATTAGCCTTTTTGAGCACGCCAATACCCTGAAAATTCAGAAGGTCTTCACTCGTTTCCAGATTTTGACCTCGACCAGGGATCGCTGTTCTGATTTTTTCAGTGGTATTCTTGGAGGCGTGGAGATCTCTGAAACCAAAGCGATGTGGTTCCCCATAGTTCTGCAGGTTCGATCAGTCAAAACCATTGATGTTCTCACCTCACGGCACAGGGTGGACCAAGCCATGGTCAAACCTCCATGATCTGGCAGATGGTGATGCATCACTATGAAGTACAGTAGGAGTATTCACTTGGTAAGTTCATCCACAATCATACCAACCACACATGCATATATATATATATATGTATATCTATATATGATATGGTACCAGTAACTCATCTGAAGAACTCAACTGAGCAAGGCATCGCAGCACACATTTTTCCCACAGCTGGCCGAACATTGATCGAGCTTTATTAAACGTGCCGTGCGCCATGCGAGAAGTGCTGCTTTTTCAGCGCTGAATTGGAACGCTGACAATGTGTGAACTGGAATTTGAAAGGGCCATGTTGAGACATGTCGCTTGCCTGCTGGAGTGGTGGATGTTTTGCCACCAAATTCTGGGATCTTTTTCGGGATTCATCAGCCAACGGATTGTAAAAATGACAAGGAAATGCAGAATCACCCAACTAACAGTGCCACAATTTCCAGCCAACATTTTCTACTGCTATGTACCCTCTGGGAATTTAACATAGCCATTGAACATGGACATTTCTAGTTGATTTACCCATTAAAAACGGTTATTTTCCATAGTTATGTTAGTTTACCAGAGGGTATTTGCCTATTTGCTTTCATATGCCAAAGGTTTCACTAAGGCAAAGATTCATGGAGATCTAACCCCCCCAAATGTGACCCAAAGATAGCTGGTTGATAATCTCTGATTCATGACACCTTGGTGTTTAATATGCCCCATTTAATAGCTATCATCTCCTTAATCACCCCATGAGTATTCCAATATGATCCATGTTGAACTACTATTGGCGGTTATATATATATTATACATACATAATCATTATGCATGTCCAATATTTCTGTCCAACAACCGGGACATTCTTGGCACGAATATGTTTATAGTATATCATCAATATTATTTCCAAACATGGTGAACTTAGAACCAATATCATTGAACAATTAGCATTCAGGATATTGATTGGTTCTAACATGGTTATATCATGGTTACCCTCTGGTAAACTAACATAACTATGGAAATTCACAATTTTCATGGGAAAATCTGGCCATTTTCAATAGCTATGTTAGTTTACCAGAGGGTATATCATGGTTCCCCAAATCTGCACCCCTTGTTTTTTTAACCACATACCGTTCCCAGGCGTTGTCGAAGCACGTGCACCGCTCGGACCACCGCGAGGGCATGGCGAAGAACGGGCGAACGTTCACGTGGCGACGGAAGACCAAGGCGCGGTGCCGTTGTGGGATTCAAATGGGATATTCATCGTATAATCCATTGATAGTACTAGAAAGTGGGATAGTGGTATGTTAATAGTATGCAATTGATGTAGTGTTGTGGTATGATCCTTGAATGGGATAACTAGATTTTTGGAACTTGAAGGAATTCAATGGAATGTGCTAATCTCGCCAAGAATGATGCTGCTGTAAGAACTTTACCCAGTCATAGTTAACAACCTCCAGAGACCATGGTGGATGTGGTGGATGAAACCACATATTTGGGACCATTTGCTGGGTGTTTAATATTAGGGGAATGGGATAGTTGGATTTTATAGGGTTTAACACCAAGCAACGATAATCTATGGATAGTTGGTTTATATATGGAATAATATTAAACCCTATAATGATAGTTTAATCTATAGATTTCTAGATTTCATCATGGATTCAAACAGGGAATTTAACGGACATCCCTGGCACATTTACCCCGATGGTGATGTGAAGTACTTGGGTTTGCTCAGAAATGGTGGTACAATGTGGATAGCATGGGAATATAGCCATATTAATTAGGATAGATAGGGAATGTCAACTCCAACATATGGGATATCTTGACTGTATATATATATATATTTATTTATTTATTTAGGACTATTTTGGATACTGACGTTTACTGCCAAATTATAGCAATTTGATGGAGAAAACTGATGACAAACCCAGTAGTCTAGCCGGACAATAGAAAATTCGAGATCATTTTCCTTTCCGAACGATGAGACTTGCAGTTTCCATTGCTAGATTTGGCTGAAGGACCACTTTAACCCAACTCCACGGGGGCTCCAGGCCTCCACTGGTTGATTAAATACCGAAACATGTATCGACATACATATTCATTTCTAATTGCTGGATATGCATGGATATCCTGGATATCCCAATCTTTGGTGGCAAAATTTTGTGGTTCATCAACGACTACTCTTCTTCGTGAAGAACTTTCAATTCTTGTTGTTTTGTGGGCCTTTCGGAGAAGCACTTCAAGGTACGCACATTTCCCATGGATGAGGAGACATCCAACGTTTTCAGGTAAAAACATGCTTCTCTTTTCTTCAACCATCTTAAGTCCAACACTTTCTTTTATGTGGTTAATATTATAATATAACCATTATCTATATAGTGAATATAAAATATAAAATATATAACCATAATGGTGCATTCCAAGTTTTGCCTCTCTCCCCTTGACCCCAAGGCCTCGCCGACGCCACGCCACGCCGTGGACAACGGAGCCGACGGCGGGCTGAGTCCGCAGACCACGTCGCGGCGGGCGCGCTGTGGCCAGGCGCTGCCCGAGTGGTTGCAGGTGGCGCGGTCGCCGCAACGCATACTGCGGATGGAGAAGAAAGGCGGCTGGGGATGGTTAGTGACAGTTAGTGCTTGAGGTTGGGGGTTAGGGGGAAGTTGCGAAGTTTTCAAGATCAACATTTAGTTGGTTGAGGGTTAGAGCCTCTTTTTTTGGGGGCCATTTTGGGGTCGGAGGTTGGTGGTAGGGTTGGGAGGATTTAACTGATCAAAAGGAAAGGTTCACTGGGGAATTAATTTTATAGCGTTATAATTGTGGGTGTATGTGGGGATGTGGGGGGTTGAGGGGTTGTAGAGTTTTTTTTTTTGAGGATGTTTGGTTATACCGAGGGAGGAACATCCATTCGAGCTATTTTGATGTGAAAACCAGGGTTTCCACCAGGGTTTTGACCCCCATAACAATATCAGCACAGCAGTTGACCCAGTTGACCTCCATGTCAGATGCCTGCGAACGCTGGCTGAAGAATGTGAACAGATTTGTGGAGAAACAATCCGAGGAGATGCACACTGGGTCATGAAGCAGCCAAAATTCAGAGTTTACCAGCACAGATGGGGATGATATAATGTTAACATATGTTAACAACACAAATTAGGGATTATACCTGGAAAGAATGGGGCGGAATTTTCTCTACAGGCAATGGAGATTTTGCTAGCACAAAATTGCAAGTTTATTCGCAGAAAAGGGCCTGGACTCATTGAGATGTGCAACTTTGATGATCCTCCAAGTGGGTTGAATTTCCAAAAAATGTCGGGAAACTGTGGGTGCTTGGGTAGTTCCCATCCTCGTGATCATTACCAATTCTCAATGCCGGAATTCACAGCAACTGGAGCTTGGAACGCCTCATGAGCAAACCCTTACAGTGAGGGGTTTACCAGGTGTGTCTGGGTGAAAGTGGGATACAGTATCCAAAACGAATGGTTTACCACCCAATAATCCCAACATTTGTGAAAGTTCGATTCCTCCACGTAAGCCCTGGCGTTTGACATTTGAGTCAATGGTTCTATTCTGAGCCAGAGAAAAATGCCATGGCTTAAAAAACTCAACTTTCCTTCATGACAGGGGCCCCCCATCTCCCAACTGATGGAGGTTTCAAATCCCATGGGTTCGGCCGGCAGGACGAGGTCGTTGCTTCACCGCGCCTAGCCCCCTTGGCCACCACCGTCCCCGGCCGCCCCTGGCGCCGTTCCAAGACGGCCTCCCGCGGCCGGTCCCCGGGGCGGTACCGGGAAGGGCCGCCGCGAACTGCCCCGCTGCCGAAGGTCACGTTCAAAGGCTCGGATCCCCTGAAGGAGGCCTGGATTAGTGCCTTGGACCCAGGTTTTTGGAATGGAAAATTGGGATGTTTCTGGGATGTTCATGAGGGAAGCCGTTGTTGAGTTGGGGAAGTAGCTTCCGGAGCTGAAGCTTTTGGGGGACAAGACATTTCTTGTTTCCTGGCAACATGGGTTATAGATCGTACTACAGTAGGTTTCATTGTGGATCTGTTAAATATATGGTCCACAATGGAAAGCAAGGATTCAATCAACCAGTAGAACTAACTAATGCACCATGTATTATGGAAGCCCAGGGATGCTTTACCATCAGCAAGCTCCGTGCTTCGGAAAATTCGATGGTTTCAGTTTAGCCGTTTAGCCTCAAAGTCTCGCAACGGATTTGGTATGTCCAAGATGAGCTCCAACATCTGAGGTTGGGATTTCCTTCAATTTCCATAGATCCTCCCCAAAATTGAATGCTTAAATGATATTGCAGTAAAAGACAAGTCATTTGGAAGAGTAATCATCAGCTAAAAGTGGGTCAAATGGCATTGCATTAAGGTGGTGCCTCAATTCGTTAGCGAAGTTGGTCGGCTAGGATTTAGGTGGATTAAAAGACCAACAGACATAGCGGCGGAGCACCACTGTGCAATACATCCTCATTCTATTTGGTTTGTTTTAGATCCCGTTTATTGGACCATATCAAACATGAGGTTGGCAAATATTTCCTCTCCCAACAATCCCATCCCATATCATAGCACTATTAGTCACTATATCATACCATCAGTTTTCCAGAATTATCTCTCCAGTGGGGGCTGAGGGAGTGCTTCCGAGCTAGGGGTATCCAGGATATCCATATTCCGAATGAAAAATGAGGAGCCAAGTAGCTACAGGAGTTTCCTAGCCACATGATAGTTATTTTATGGCTAAACTTTTCATGTTGGTACATAGGTGGTTATTGTATCCCACTATATCCCAGATCCCCATGGTATACCCTCCGAAAAAGCCGATCACGAATTTTCCATTGTAGTTGCTGAAAAAATCCCCATTTTCCTTGTGTCCATCACATCATCTACGAGATCATATCCCCAAAAAATCAGGTTCGTGGTTATAATTCACAAGGATCTCCCAATGATCTCCCAAAAGATCTCCCAAAAGATCTCCCAAAAAACCCGTCACCTTTGGGTCCCAAGGTTGGGATTTCATTCAGCACATGCCCGAGCACATCGGTTACCTCCTGCGCCGCTCGGGCTCGGAGGAGGAGTTCACTGAGCGCGCGGAGGGCTCCGGGGGAAGCCAGCGGCAGTTGCTTTAGGGGGACCACATTTTTTGACCAGTTCCCAGCAGAGTTTCTGCAGGGGATAGCCACAAGTTTGTAGAAAAAAAATATCGTATGAGGATGTAGTATGATTCATCCCGTCAGTCTGATATTAAATCTGATATGATGTGATTTTGCCATTAATATAGTGATATGTTTTGGAAACATATTATAGGAATCCCCGAAAAGACAAAGAAGTATTCCAGGATGGCATAGATGATGATTTTCCCCTAATTTCAATATTTCCGACTTTATTTTTTTGAGTTCTTGTATATTGATAAAAACATTTTTCTTTTGGGAATAATGATGTGCAATGAGAAACCACATCAGAAATGTCATAGATGAGAAGCGGGTCTCGACTATAAGCGAGTTGTAATGATGAAATTATCTATTTTACACGGTCAGTTTGTAAAGCTTGACATTTTGATTTGATATACATATGCATCAACCCAAGCATATAACAGGATTCCACATTGAGTGGATCCAATGTATCAAACCAAGCTTTCTGAAGCCAATTGCCTGGATAGAAAAGACCAGTTTCACGGCTTTTATAGGATTCAATGCAACTTTATGGGATAGACTGGGATACATTACATAACCAGCAATTTGATAGTTGGGTGTGTTTGAAAATGGGCTATGTCCATTTCATGGGGAAAATTATGATTAACCATTAATTTTTTAGGGTACTCTATCTTCAGACAAACCTACATTTTCAGGTATTGACTAGTGATGGTGAGTTCTTTCGGGGACTCACCCCCAAATTTGCCATGATTTCGCACCGCACGCGGAACGTCTGAATCATTACAACATGGATTCTGAGTGGCTTCCCACGAGCACAACTTTGGGGAGGCGGGGCATGGCATTTTTAGACCTGGTAGAAGAGCAGCTGAGTGCCCGTTGATGCCGGAACCCTGAGCGGACTTGGAGCTCGCAGTCCTTTTTGGCCAATTTTTTTCAGAAATGGGTCAACGATCCATGGTGAAAAGTCGTGTAAAAATCGTATACACAATATTTCCTTTGTATCATGGCATGTTAATGAAACATAAAAACAGCAATTGCATCCATGTACATATCCATTGAACTGTTTTTTCCAACAATAATAATCCCATCCCCCTACTATTAAACACCACCTAAATTGTCCCAACTTTGTGTAATTCCTGTACTAAACCATGGTTTCTGAGGGGTGTTGAATAGGGGGAAGCGATTCTATTGATGCTAAGTTCTGGTAAACTAACATAGTTATTGAACATTGCCATTTATAGTTGATTTACCCATTAAAAATAGTGATTTTCCATAGTTTTTTGTATGTTTACCAGAGGGTACGTTCTGAACTTTGCCATTTCCAATGCCCAAATCCGTTGAAGTTTGGGTCCTCGACCGCGGTAGAGAAGACCTCTGCCGGGGAGATCGCGAACCGTTTCAAGCTTGGGGATCTCCTGCTGGATCCAGGTCAAAGCCAAGAAAAGATGGGTGATTCTGAGCAACTCGAAGGTGATTTTTCATGGGATTTAATGGAATAAGATGGGAATTAATATAGCCAACTATGTTTGGAAAAAACGTAGGATATCTTTGGGAATATGAACTGAACAGGAACTATAGGAACTATAAATTTAAATCTGCTCTGGGGTTGGCTCACGTTTTTCCAGTTTGAACTTTGATGTTGACTATGGTGTGTGGAATCTGACTTTCACATAACAAATTGCCAGTTTGAACGGAGCAGATAGCCTCTGGTAATTTAACATAGCTATTGAAAATGGCAATTTATAGTGAGTTTTCCCAATAAAAATGGTGATTGTCCATAGCTATGTTAAATTACCAGAGGGTAGCCCAAGTTTGAGACACTCCCCAGTTTCGGAGTCTAAAATTGGCTCCTCGATGGCAGTTTCTGTGCCAATAGGGGATTTTTCCACCATGGTATGCACCGGGGATCGAAGCCGTAAGATGACTTAAATACATAACCAGTACCCTCTGGTAAACATACAAAAAACTATGGAAAATCACCATTGTGAATGGGAAAACTCACTATTTCGACTGGGCCATTTTCAATAGCTTTTTGTATGTTTACCAGAGGGTATATCAGGTGTGCATCCGAACATTTTGCTGAATCTGCCACACCGTTTGGTGCCGCATAGAGTCCGCAGCGCCGTTTGTGCAGCGGAACTTCCGGTAGGTGCTCGCGAAATCTGAGGCTGTCGTGCTGCGACTGTGAGCGAAATCTGGGTTATCACTGTTGACTGGGAAGTAAAAGCCCATAAAATATGGATGTGGGTCAAAATGGAAGACCTAGGGAACCACAGATGTTAGTCTAGTTTAGTATTAACCATCCATAATTTTGGGGTACCTAATTTTGACCCATACCCATATGATGATTTAATATGATTTATATAAGCAGACCCTCACCATACGGATCCCGGATCGATCCACTATGATCCACTATAATATACATTCCAATAGCAGTTCCGTTTTTTTTTTTCGTGGTGGATGTAATTCAAATTGTGGTCTTGTCTGAAGAAAAGGCACTATAGCCTATTCCATCACATGGTATATATACATATATTATATATATATATACATATATGTATATATATATACACATATACACCTCGTTTTCCACATCAAAAATCAGGTTTTGGATCTTTTGGGGGGTAGTTTGTCATTTTTCTTCGGTTTTTTTTCGCGCGTCTCCATGGGTTGTAACTCCTCCTATGACCTGCCACGGTGCCATGGATTTCACCATCCGGACAGCGAGGTCGGTGGTGAGCATTGTGGAGACCGACGCGACGGTTTCAGAGGAGACGACTGATGGACTGGCTGAAAAAGTGGATGATGGTTGATGATGATGGTTGCCCTCTAGTAAACTAACGTAGCTGCGTAGCTATAGAAAATCACCATTATTAATGGGTAAATCAACTATTTCTATGGCAATTTCAATAGCTATGTTGAATTACCGGAGGGTAATGATGTTAACAATGGTGATTCAGGGAACCCATTGATGGTTTATAGAACCCATTGATGATGATTTTGGGGATGATTTATGAAAGTCAATTTGCCACATTAACCTCTAGTAAACTAACATAACTATGGAAAATCACCATTACTAATGGGTAAATCCACTATAAATCACCATTTTTCATTGCCATGTTTGATAACCGGAGGATATACCCTCTAGTAAACTAACGTAGCTATAGAAAATCATCATTTTCAATGGGTAAATCCACTATATATCACCATTTTTCACTGCCATGTTTGATAAGCGGAGGATATACCCTCTAGTAAACTAACGTAGCTGTAGAAAATCATCATTTTCAATGGGTAAATCCACTATAAATCACCATTTTTCATTGCCATGTTTGACAACCGGAGGATAGACCCTCTAGTAAACTAACGTAGCTATAGAAAATCACCATTGTTTGTTAATGGGTAAATCAACTATTTCTATGGCAATTTCAATAGCTATGTTAAATTACCGGAGGGTAATGATGTTAACAATGGTGATTCAGGGAATATACCCTCTGGTAATTTGTGACACTTTGCTATTGATTCGATGGATGATGAAATAGTTTCCATAGCAAACTGTGAGTCTACCAGAGGGTACATCTATTTGAAGGTGTTGAATCCATCAAAACTGAATCAAGACCATTTTGAAAGTATTTAATAATATAGTTTGACATAGTAGGTATATTTATTTGTTTTCTTTGCTTGATGGATTTGAGCAAGAAAAGAATAGGGGGGGGAATTTCTTGTTGGTATTCATGTGATGTTCGACATTTTTGTGGAGGAAAATTCTTCCTGGGGAAGAAGGGATGATCCCACTCTACAGTGCACGCACGGCAGAGTAACAGAACATGACAGGGAATGTGCTGGGATTCTCATGGTGCTATTCGATGGTAATCTAACATAGTCATGGAATCCATGGCAGTGTTGAAGATCTCAATCGTCTACTTTCCTGGGTTATTTTCCATGGCAAACTATTAAATTACCGGAGGCTGTATCTCAGGTCTCATCAACGTTAGTTCTACCCAATTGTGGCTGTGTATATATCATCATCGTTAAATCTCCATTATATATATATCCCATAAAATGGTGATAAATTCTGTTACGGAAGTTGAATGGCAGAAGTTGACTTGTCCCAACCATGTTGCGCCAGCGACAGGAGCGGGATTTGGTTCTGCTGGATGTGAGGGAAGCAGATGAGTCCGGGGGCTCAAGACACTGTCGAATCTTGTGGGGTGGTTTGGAGCCTAAGGGGCCCAGGAAATACCAATGTAAGTTTCCATTTTTTTTAAAAGACAAACACCCTCTGTATTGTAAACAAACAATTTACCCAAACTGTTTTTCTGTTATATAAATCTACTGGAGTTGTTCACTTAGAGGACCACAACATTTTGGATTTCATGGTACAAATGGGATTGTAATAGGTACCGCAAAATTCGATGGTTAATCATTCTAAACTCTAAACCCTATTAAAGAAGCCAAACAATTGTCGCGACCCCGCCATTTTCAGACAGAGCATATAGGGGTACAGATCAGAACTTCAGACTCAAGATCTCAAGGAGCTTCAAAAATTCTCTCGTCGGACCTTAGGATCTGAAACCATCCCATTTTTAAGAACAGATTTTGTTGGGCACTAGCCACATTTGGGTTTGTAAACCTATCTATCCATCTGTCTCTATCCTTTTTTGATTCTGAGATTACTTATCGAAATTTTGATTGTATCCACACTGGATGCAGTGTTTTTCTACACCCATCGCCGGTTGTTTTTGGGGTGACCCATGGGTTTGTCTGCCCCATCGACTGGCTCATCATTTTTGCCCAATAAAATTGCCACAAATTGGCGCCACATACACCATTTTTGGACAGAACATAGAATATCAAGTTTAGTTATATTATATATCCTACTCTCCCATTATATATATATGTATACTGTATATATATATGTATATATATATATATGTATATATATGTATATATATATATCACCATTTTGATCTTCCTTATATCCCATTGAAATGAGTTTCCCTGAACAGCCAGTAGGTCGCGTCGTAAACCCTGAGTGCAGAGATGACCGAGCACTTTTTACGGTAAAACAACCTAGTCCATCCTAGTCCTTATTTCATATAGAATTATGTTTTCATATGATAAAATATGGGATGATTGATGATAGAATGGGCATGGATCAATTCATGAGAAAATTCACCTCATTTTTTCAGCTCATATACTGTTTGATTCAAGGTGAATTTGGGATTCATTTCTTTTTGTGGTCACTGAGTCAGTATTCACGTTTTGTGGTCATGTTATGGCTTCCCTACACGCTGGGGACCGGTTCTGCAGGTTCGAGCAATGTCATTTGCCGCTGGCCGTCTCCTTTCCCGCGCCCAAGATCAACAGGGACCGGTTCTGCGGTGCGGGTTTCAATGGTTGTAGAGTTACATTAGGGTGACATGTATGGTTATTAACACTAATGAACGGTTATACAAGGGGTTATCACAACTTCCTAATGGTTTACATACCATTTGACATTTCTGGTTTATGAAAAGCTATTTTAATGTTTTAATGGGTTTTTAGTGGCTATCTGAGGGGTTCATGGAAACTTGGATTGGATCAATGTTTGGTTTTTAGGTTTTTTGTAGCTTTACTGGATTCGTGGTTTCAGACCCGACCTCAAAGTCATGCTGAGTGTTCAACCATACCTCTTGTTGTGTACTTGACCCATCTCCAAAAGAACATCCTGACATTCACTTTTTGGGGATATCTCCATTCGAGTGCACTTTCTAGTCCATTTGAGTGCACTAAACTCACAGTGTTTGTTGGTAACCATCCTCAATGACATGTTTTTATTGGTCCCACTTTTTCGTCCGAAGTAGCCACTGAACGCAGGACCAATTCATCCCTGAACTGATGAGATGCAAACGAGAACCCTCCAAGCTCTTAGTGCCTCGGCAGAGCTGTGCTTTTTCTTCCACAGTTTGTGAACGCTAAGTTGGGAAAGATACCTAGATTAATTCTAGGCTTCACGGATGTTTCTGGTATATTATACTTACATATATACCTTATAAATGTGTATTTAATGGGGCTGATAGACCAACAACAAACATTTCACTGGGGTGGCACCACCTAGATGGGCGTGTAATCCCCGCGAAATGGGAATCCTGGGGATAGCCAGTTGGTCACCATGCTACAAGGGGATTCCATAGAAGCTCCAAAAGCGGTTTTTTTTTGCGCCATGTTCGGTTGCCTGGTAGGTGGAAACAGAATCCCTAAAAGCAAGCGTCAAATTTCACTAGAGCCCATGATATTGATCGGTTTTCCATGATTTATTTCCGATCTTTCCGTGGTAAATCCCACAACCATGACCTGTATAGATCCGCGTCACTGTATCTCACATCAAGTTCCAAAAATTCTTCTTAGTACAATATATCCCACTTATTCCACGTAAGTTCCACTAAATCCATCTTATGATATGGTTCATTAGAAGATATTAGAAGGATAGTATCTAGTCCCACTTAGAAGTTCAGTACTAAGTTGCTATATAATTCCAGTTTCTACTTATAATTCGAGTTTCGAAGTCCATATCCCCCACAAAATACCCAGGACTTCCCATGGAATCCCCCCAAAAAAACCCTCCCGGAGCCTGGATCCTCAGGTCATCTATGGTGCCAACGAACAGGCGACCATCGGGGTGGCCCGCTTATTGGTGGAGAAGGCGACGGCCGGGATTCTTTTTTTTGGTGATCAGTGGGAACCATATTGGAACATATGGAAAAATATGGGAACACCATGGGAAAAAGTATAAATATCATGGGATATGTAATGAATATAATGAATATATGACGATGATTTATAGAACCACCAATATGATATTTTTAGTGTGTTTCAAAATGATGATATGGTCTATTTACCCCTAGTTTATGGCCATTTGCTGGGGGATAACGCAGGAAAAACCAGCCTTTAGTTTGGGGATGATCACAATCCATGAAGTGTGAATCCCTGGAAAACCAAAACGCACCTCTCGGAAGTCTTGATGTTTCCTCAAATTTCAACATCCGTAAACAAAATCATGTGTAAATTCCAGAGGATCTGACTTTTTGGTTTCATAAATTCCAGATGCTCCGTGGAATTTCGATAAGACATCAATAATATCGGACGTTTATCCTGTATTTACTGTAGGTTTTGCAAAGATGAACAGTTTTTGAGTATTCTCTTATCCCGATCAATAAATGGAAATCTGACTTTTTGACTTCATCATTTCAGTGGAATCTGACATTTTTTGACCTCCGAAATACCGGTCGGACATCCGGAGCGCACGTCTCTGGGCGGCTCGGGTTGCAGGGCTGGGAGAATGTCCATGCCTTGACCGGTGGTATGGGGAACCCAGCTGGTGATATGGAGATCAATGGGATAGAAACTGGGAATGGAATTGAGTTATGATATACTGGAATATTCATGGATATTTCATGGGATATTCATGGATATTTCATGGGATATTCATGGATATTTCAGGAGATATTCATGGGATTTCATGGGATATCATGTGAAATTTAAGTTTTTTTCATAGGTGGTGAAGTAGCAAAAATAGTGGTGGTGACCAGCAACAATGGGGATGATCATGGCGATACTGAGATTCCTTGCCTTGACATTGAGATCTGGATTCATCATTTGGATGTTGACGATCCTATCCATCAGCAATTGAACGCATTTAGGGGTTTCCATAGTCATGGGGGTACCCAATAGCTGGATAGTTTGTAATGAAAAATCCTATAAAATGGATGCTTTAGGGGTACATACCCTATTTCAGGTACCCCCTAAGGACACCCGTAGGGGACATTTTGTTATCATTTTCGATGGGGGGTATCCTAAACCCATGGTGCTGAATGCTAGAATGCGTTTTGTCCAACTATGGCAATATCTCGGAAAATGATTGCAGTATCGGAAACTGAAGGGTTCTTCCATCTTCCAAATCGTCGAATTCTGACAATTCAGGTTTTGATGGGTGGCAGAGGCCGCCGGAGCTGAGGTTTTGAAGAGATGTTGCAGAGCTACCCGGAGATCATCGAAGGTACATCCTGCCCCCTTTGATTTCGGTGACCCCACGAATGGTTGGGTTTTACTGCCATCTGGTCATTGAACGTAGCTATTGAACATGGCCCATAGAAAGCTCGTTGATTTACCGAACTGAAAGACGGTGATTTTCCAGTTCGCGAACTGTGAACGTTTACCAGAGGGTAAGGGTTTATGAACTTTTTTAAGCACCCTATAAATTCTAGAGGATACCTGAGAATTTCCCTTCATATCGTGGTTGCTAAGATTTTAGTGGATGGTTAAGATTGGGGTTCTTAATGACAATTATGGATTTTTTCAGGGCCGAACCATCTATTGACAACAGGGTACCGTACCGAAAACACCATTTGCCCCATGCTTAGATGGCCAAAAACATGTACACCAAGCCAGTCAACATACAATGTATCCAATGTGCATCCATCAAAACCGTTTGCACAAGAAACCTACACAATTTTACAACCACATAGGTCTCTACGTATAGTGTAATATATGTATACATATATGTATACATATATATATATATTTATTGATATGTATGAATGTTAATTGGGATAGATTTTTACCGAGCACAATGTACATTTAAGGGAATGTGATTATGTCACATAATGTACCGGTAAACGTGAGGGTGATCTTAAGTAATGAGTATTTTGCAAAGGGGTTGACACTACAAAGCAGTCACGTACTGGAATGTTTTTTCTACCCTTTCCCAGTTCTATTCCCATGATCTTTAATTCAATCTCATTATTGTTGGTTTAATCACCATTTGGTTGCTAAAGTGCCATGAATCTGACATATTCTTCCCATTGATATCCGATTACCCTCTGGTAAACATACAAAAAACATCAAAAAACTATGGAAAATCACCATTTTTCATGGGTAAATCACCATTTTTCATAGGTAAATCACAATTTTTCATGGGTAAATCACCATTTTTCATGGGTAAATCACCATTTTTCATGGGTAAATCGATGATTTCTATGGCCGTTTTCCAGTTCGCAAAGTGCTGGTGATTTCTCAGGCACCATCCCTGAGCGGCCTCCGACCACCAGTACGGTCCGCTCCGGGCGAGGGCTTCCCAGCTGCTGGTTGCGCGGTGAGATGTGGCCTGATTACAACTGTTTAACCCCAATTTTTAGGAAATGATGATCACTGATTGGTGGTTTGGTTCACATGAATTTAATTTTTTTCCATATATTGGGAATAATCATCTCAACCAGATAAAGAACTAATCCCTACAACTCCCGTTTTGGCTTGGACGGCAGCATGTCCTGGCCTGGCCAAGGCTGCGACGCTGAGTGAAGCTGGGAATTCAATAGGATGGTAGCAGATGGCCACCCTTATCACCTTGACTTCAGTGATCTTCAGTGATTTTCAGTGGTTCTCAAGCCACATTTGCGGAGGGGTCGACCCACCAACTAAGTATGGGATTATCACCAGAAACTTTAGCGATTTTTTCGATGGTTTTTGGACCCGTGAAACGGGCAAAATCGAAGGAAACTGCCAAGTGGTAAGAAGTGCCGGTCCTAGTAGCAGTTGGCAACATGTCCGGTGCAAAGCCGCACTGGAGTTGCTGGGGCTCTGTATGGCGAGTGCCGCAAATTATGGCCGTTCCACAGGTAACATGATTTCTAATGCATGGGATGGAGTGGCTTGGCCTCTTTGGTCAACGCCACGCGTGAAAAGTTTAGCTATAAAACATGAAGCTGCATGAGGTAATACCTATCTCATACATGAGTGGATATTAGTGGTATTTTAGTGGTAATACAAGCATAATAACTATATCGTTATAATTTATTTATAATTATCAATACCTTACGTTCTATATTCACAAGATACTGTATCCCACTAAGGTCTCTTTTTAGGATCCAAGGCGAACTGCATCCCCAACCACTCTCCATCCCTGGGAACCACTAGGGGATGAATGACTCGGGGGTTCCAAACCACGAAAGGCCCCATGTTGTTCTGAGAAAAACGGTGTTTTTTAACTATCCAGTAGTTGGGACGGAGCGCCTGGGAGCTATGGGTATTCAGATTCCCTGGGAGCCAGCTGGAGCAGTTTCCAAACCGCAAGGATCAAGTGCTATGGCCAGTGTCCCAATCGCCCCTGAAATTTCTCAACGACTGGAATTCGTTGCGTCGAAAGAGTTTGCTGCGTCTCGGTGGATAAGTGACAGCTGGATGAGTACCTGGTAGAAAAGTCTAGATGAATGTGTCTAATTTTTTTCCCCATTCAAACTGCCGGTCTAAAAATGAGGTGTATCCCACCTGTTTGTGGCCTTGAAAGAAATAAGGAAAGTATATAATGAAACCCCTGGATTCGTGGCTCCCGAGGTACGAGGTACGCTATTTTCAGGATATGTTAAAACCATAGGGGGGATATGTTTTTTTTCAAACGGAACACGAACACATTCACTGCTGGATATTTTGTTGTTCCGTTGAGGTTTTCATGCTTTTTGTTGATGAAGAAGCCTCCATCATCTTGGTAGCCACAGCACCCGGCGCTGCTTTATGGGTCGATACAAACTGATCCAAGGCACGAAAAGTGTCGCTGTACGAACCCAAGAGAGGACAATCCCAATGTCAGGACATCATTGGTCATACTCTCCGGTCATCAAACATGACAATGGAAAATACCCTACAAATGGAGGTTTTTTCATGGGCAAATCAACTATGAATGGTGGGTTTTTCATTGCCAGGTTTGTCGTTAAAAGTGTGTGACACTGGGCTGTGTTTTCTGTGGGTGAAAGCAGGAGTATCCTGAAAATCCCATGGTTTATCATGATTTTCGTCATGAAATGGCCATAGCCCATTTTCAGACACACTGTGAGATTGTTACTGGCTGCGTCTCCCATTCTATCCAGTTATTCCCATGACATTCCACGAGATTTCCAGCGTAAAATATGCAGCTGGCTGAGTTGTGCAACTCGTCGGAAACTCACCTTGGCTCTGATTTTCCAGAGGAAGACACATCTACAAAGATGTGGGAAGTAATCTGTTGGCAATTTGTCTACATGATCATCATGATCTATATCTGTAAAGCATTTAGAGAAATGCTGATTTCGTGAACGTTTGCATTGGGCAAGGGACAGCAGATAGCAAATCTCCGCCATACACCGAACTTTTGGGATTTGCCAGCCCCAAAAAGGTGAATTTCCCTCAGGTTTACCTCAATATCAATGATTCCGCGGAGTCATTTTTTTTGGGTGCTGCACCCGCAAGTGTACGGCTAAACCTTACTTGAAAGCATTAACTCTACCGAGAAATCCCTTTGCCGACGAAGGATATTTTTGAGGCGCCAATGGGAGTTGAGGATCAGTTCTGGCGCGGCCATGGATACATTCTTTGATAATTGATACCTTTCCTGGGAGGTATCTTTCCTTAACGCTACATTATAGCAACCCCCCAAACAATAGAAAAGGACAAAAGAAAGCATGTATTATCATTTATCCCTTTTATCTTGAATGGATTTCGTTTGAATATTTTTGGAAGTTCCCTTTCAGCAGGGAAGCATGTTCCCGGCAGATCAGCAGGAAGTTGATGGCCCATGGGAGATTTTCCAGCCATGTTTAGATGACCGGAGGGAACGATTTTTGGCTCTTGATTGACCTTCAAGAAAGGGTACCCTCTGGTAAATTAACATAGACCCTGAAAATCACCCATTTTCAGTGGAAACTAATCTTCCAACCCCTATCTGCCAGGTTCTATGTTAATTTACTGGAGGGTACATGTTTTTAAACCTTGGTAAAGGTCCTGGTTGTCACTACCCAGCTCCTGGATATGGAATACATAGTATATATATACTCCCCATTCTATTCTAACCATTTGGCCATTTCCCACTTCGCACCCAGTCGCATTCTCTCTTTTTCGTTACCGCAGCACCTTTGGCCACCGCCTCACCCGAGCACCCGAGCCGTTCGCGTCCCGTCCTTCGTTGGAGCCGGAAGCACCATGCGCCCAGCCACGGCACGCGGTGGACCACGGGGTCAGTCCCCACAACGGGATCCAGTGACTCGGAGAAGGGGGTGGGCTCACGTTTCAACGTTTCACCCGGTGAGGGTGTTCTAGAAAGGGGGGTCACGTTTGGAGGATTATTAGGTGGAAAAATAGATTGTATAGACATACATATATAATTATGTATATATATATATATATCCATATTCTACGGCTATATTTGACTCTAGTTGTATATGCATGAATACGCTCCCGCCAATTTATTGTTGTTCAAAGCTTTTGGGAGTGCCTCAACATGTCATTGCATATTGTGCTAGGCCTACATAGGTGCATTTCCATAGGTTATCTCCATGATCCACTTGGCACAGCGATGGACATCCCGCATTTGTAAAAGTTATTTTTTTTTCTACTGTATATTTTTTTCATTTATAGGGAAGTTCCCACTGCCATTCATGTTCGATTAAGGGTATGCATTTTTCTGGGCCATACCTGTCGAAGAAGGCCGACCTTTTGTTCGTGATGGTCTCCGCATACCCCAAACATCAAGTACCACGTGTAGCCAGCTGACCTACTTTTGTTTCCCAGGTATATCATGAAATATTGCCATCTTTACATGCTCATGCCATGGCAAGAACCTTTTCCAGGTCACCCTAATAGAGGTAGTTATCGGAGCCATCTTGATATGGGGGTGGGTCAAAACCTATTATTATCAATTCTAATGGGATGAACATCCATAAATCCCAGCTATTTTGGGGTTCACTAGGTGCCAGGGTTTTGACCAATAGCCATATGAACCATGCGAAAAACCATCCGAAATTTGACGGGTGAATTCCCAAGGAACTGATGAGTCGCGTGCGAGAATTGGAAACGGCGCAGAAGAACGAGGCCAAGAACCCATTTTTGCTGTACCCAATTTCCTATCCACAAACAGAAACCACTAAGTGGGGTGAACAAACATTGATTTGATAACCACTTACTAATCATATTCTAATCATATTCTAATCAGTAGAAATCGGCAACGTTTGAATATCTTGGCGAGTTGGGTTTTATTATATGGATCGCACTTGTTGGATGGAATTGCCAGTTCTTTGGTCCTGGCATTGATAATTATGGTTATAATTATATATATATAAACAATGTATACATATATATATATATATTATATAGAAAGTGAATGTAAAGTGAATCAACTTCCGTGGATGTCGGATGATGTGAGTTTTTTCTTGTTGAAGAGGGATTAAGGGATCAGCCAGTTTTTGCCCTGGGGGGTTGGGCTTGTGGTTCAGTGCTTTTCAATAGTGAAGATTGACCGGGATTTCAACCCCCCAAACCACCGACATAGTTCTGGGCCAGGAACGCCAGAAGAAGCTGGCTGAGCGCAAGAAAGCCCAGGATGCTTGGATCTTGTTTCTGAAAATGGTGGGATACCCCTAAGTGACCATTTTAAGAGGGAAAATCATGATAAACCCGTGGATTTCGGGGCCTATTTTTCCGACAAAGCCATTCAGGGCCAATCCACTGGTGGGTCATTTTCCAATTTTTCAGACACACAAATATCATGTGTTGCTTGCGTAATGTGTATTTCCACATATTTCCACTATATATATATACAAATAATAGTAATAATAGCAATAATGATAGTAATAATCAAAGGAAGTTTAGGGGGAGAAACTTCCGTGTTACGGACTTTTAGAATGTCAGGGAAAGAGTTAGTCAAAGAAAGAGTTAGCAAAGAAAGAGTTCGTCAGGGAAAGAGTTAGTCAAAGAAAGAGTTAGTGAGGGAAAGAGTTAGTCAAAGAAAGAGTTAGTGAGGGAAAGAGTTATTCAAAGAAAGAGTTAGCAAAGAAACAGTTAGTCACAGAAAGAGTTAGCAAAGAAAGAGTTCGTCAGGGAAAGAGTTAGTCAAAGAAAGAGTTAGTCAAAGAAACGGTTAGTCAGGGAAAGAGTTAGTCAAAGAAAGAGTTAGTGAGGGAAAGAGTTAGTCAAAGAAAGAGTTAGTGAGGGAAAGAGTTAGTCAAAGAAAGAGTTAGCAAAGAAACAGTTAGTCAGGGAAAGAGTTAGTCAAAGAAAGAGTTAGTCAGGATATATGAGGTAGTCAAAGAAAGAGTTAGTCAAAGACAGAGTTAGTGAGGGAAAGAGTTAGTCAAAGAAAGAGTTAGTGAGGGAAAGAGTTAGTCAAAGAAAGAGTTAGTCAGGATATATGAGGTAGTCAAAGCAAGAGTTAGCAAAGAAACAAGTTAGTCAAAAAAAGAGTTAGTGAGGGAAAGAGTTAGTCAAAGAAAGAGTTAGCAAAGAAACAGTTAGTCAGGGAAAGAGTTAGTCAAAGAAAGAGTTAGTGAGGGAAAGAGTTATTCAAAGAAAGAGTTAGCAAAGAAACAGTTAGTCACAGAAAGAGTTAGTCAAAGAAAGAGTTCGTCAAAGAAACAGTTAGTCAGGGAAAGAGTTAGTCAAAGAAAGAGTTAGTGAGGGAAAGAGTTAGTCAAAGAAAGAGTTAGTGAGGGAAAGAGTCAGTCAAAGAAAGAGTTAGTGAGGGAAAGAGTTAGTCAAAGAAAGAGTTAGTCAGGATATATGAGGTAGTCAAAGCAAAGAGTTAGCAAAGAAACAGTTAGTCAGGGAAAGAGTTAGTCAAAGAAAGAGTTAGTGAGGGAAAGAGTTAGTCACAGAAAGATTTAGCAAAGAAATTGTTCCCTCACTGTAAATGGGATTGCAAGTGGTGCTGGTGGAGGAGTTGCCGATGGAGTTTTGGAGGAAGTCTCGCACGAAATGCGTTTTTGAGAGATAGCAGATGCACCAAACCCTATGTTTTTCCATACAAAGTCCGTCCCCGAACCTCGATGATCTACCTCTGCGGTGCGGCGGTTGCGAGACGGTCTCGTGTGTGGTCGGATCATGGTCGGATCGGTCTCGGATCATGCTCGGATCGGTTCCGCATTGTAAATGGGGTGTCACCTGTGTTTCGTGCATTTGTGATCGACAGAATTCCATTGTGATTTGCAACTGTAGGATCGTTCCCGCAATGTAAATGGGATTGCAAGTGGTGCTGGTGGATGAGGTGCCGATGGAATTCCATTGTGATTTGCAACTCTAGGATCGTTCCCTCACTGTAAATGGGATTGCAAGTGGTGCTGGTGGAGGAGTTGCCGATGGAGTTTTGCAGAAAGTCTCGCACGAAATGCGTTTTTGAGAGATAGCAGATGCAAGAAACCCTATGTTTTTCCATACAAAGTCCGTCCCCGAACCTCGATGATCTACCTCTGCGGTGCGACGGGTGCGAGACGGTCTCGTGTGTGGTCGGATCATGGTCGGATCGGATCGGTCTCGGATCATGGTCGGATCGGTTCCGCATTGTAAATGGGGTTTCAAGTGTTTTTCGTGCATGCGCGGTCGACAGAATTCCATTGTGATTTGCAACTGTATAGGATCGTTCCCGCATTGTAAATGGGGTTGCAAGTGGTGCTGGTGGATGAGTTGCCGATGGAATTCCATTGTGATTTGCAACTCTAGGATCGTTCCCTCACTGTAAATGGGATTGCAAGTGGTGCTGGTGGAGGAGTTGCCGATAAAGTTTTGGAGGAAGTCTCGCACGAAATGCGTTTTTGAGAGATAGCAGATGCACGAAACCCTATGTTTTCCCATACAAAGTCCGTCCCCGAACCTCGATGATCTACCTCTGCGGTGCGACGGTTGCGAGACGGTCTCGTGTGTGGTCGGATCATGGTCGGATCGGTCTCGGACCATGGTCGGATCATGCTCGGATCGGTTCCGCATTGTAAATGGGGTTTCAACTGTTTTTCGTGCATGTGCGGTCCGGTCGACAGAATTCCATTGTGATTTGCAACTGTAGGATCGTTCCCGCAATGTAAATGGGATTGCAAGTGGTGCTGGTGGATGAGTTGCAGATGGAATTCCATTGTGATTTGCAACTGTAGGATCGTTCCTGCAATGCAAATGGCATTGCAAGTGGTGCTGGTGGAGGAGTTGCCGATGGAATTCCATTGTGCTTTGCAACTGTAGGATCGTTCCCGCAATGTCTAGAAGGTTTCACATGCTTCGGTGGACGAGCTGAGGACGTAATACCATTGTGTTTTGCTAGGGATTGTTGCTAATCGCATTGTAATGGCTGCGTGAACTTGCTGCAGCTGGATTCTTTCAGATTTTGCCTGCTTTCATTTTCTATTTCAATTCTTTATAAAAAAAGGCTTCAAAAATCAACTTTTTCTGCTCTGGCGTCGAGATCCGGTTTTGGAGCTACAATTTCCGACGCCGTTGCGCGTAGTTCTATTGTGTTTTGCAACTCAGTCTCTGCAGATCGCATTGTAATGGCTGTGTCAAGATTGCTTCGTGCTGTGGCTGCATTGGTAATACTTTTGTCTTTTGCAGCTGGATCTCGTAAATCGTATTGGAGTGGCTGCATGAAGGCTGCGACATGGATTTGTTAGCAGATTTTCTCCATTTTGGCGCTAGTGATTTTCCTTCTAAAAATCCTTTTAAAAAGTGCTTCAAAATCGTCTTTTTTTCGCTCTGGCGTCGAGATCCGGTTTTGGAGCTACAATTTCCGACGCCGTTGCGCGTAGTTCTCTTGTGTTTGCAACTCAGTCTCTGCAGATCGCATTGTAATGGCTGCGTCAAGGTTGCTTCATGCTGTGGCTTTTGCAGCTGGATCTCGTACATCGTCTTGGACTGGCTGCATGAAGGCTGCGAAATGGATTTGTTAGCAGATTTTCTCCATTTTGGCGCTAGTGTTTTTTTGTTGCACCTAGGTTTAGAGCAGTGTGAAGTGTGGGGCGTGAAGAGTGCAGTGTGAAGTGTGCAGTGTGAAGGAAGCAGTGGGAAGTGAGAAGTGTGAAGTGTGGAGTGTGAAGTTTAAGTTTGGAGTGCGAAGAGCGCAGTGTGAAGGGTGAAGTGTGAAGTGTGAGGTTTGGAGTGTGAAGGAAGCAGTGAGAAGTGTGAAGTGTGGACTGTGAAGTGTGAAGTGTGAGTGAAGTGTGGAGTGTGATGTGCGAAGTGAGAAGTGTGAAAGTTTGGAGTGTGAAGTTTGGAGTGGGAAGGAAGCAGTGAGAAGTGAGAAGTGTGAAGTGTGGACTGTGAAGTGTGGAGTGTGAAGTGCGAAGTGAGAAGTGTGAAGTTTGGAGTGTGAAGGAAGCAGTGAGAAGTGAGAAGTGTGAAGTGTGGACTGTGAAGTGTGGAGTGCGAAGAGCGCAGTGTGAAGTGTGAAGTGTGAAGTGTGAGGTTTGGAGTGTGAAGGAAGCAGTGAGAAGTGTGAAGTGTGGACTGTGAAGTGTGAAGTGTGAGTGAAGTGTGGAGTGTGAAGTGCGAAGTGAGAAGTGTGAAGTGTGAGTTTGGAGTGTGAAGTTTGGAGTGGGAAGGAAGCAGTGAGAAGTGAGAAGTGTGAAGTGTGGACTGTGAAGTGTGGAGTGTGAAGTGCGAAGTGAGAAGTGTGAAGTTTGGAGTGTGAAGGAAGCAGTGAGCAGTGAGAAGTGTGAAGTGAGAAGTGTGAAGTGTGGACTGTGAAGTGTGGAGTGTGAAGTGCGAAGTGAGAAGTGTGAAGTGTGAAGTTTGGAGTGTGAAGGAAGCAGTGAGAAGTGAGAAGTGTGAAATGTGGAGTGTGAAGTGTGAAGTGCGAAGTGAGAAGTGTGGACTGTGAAGTGTGAAGTGTGACTGTGAAGTGTGAAGTGTGAAGTGTGGACTGTGAAGTGTGGAGTGTGAAGTTTGAAGTTTGGAGTGCGAAGAGTGCAGTGTGCAGTGTGAGGTGTGGAGTGTCGAGGGAAGGACACGGTCGGGACAGGTTGTCTTTGAACTATAGGTCATTTATGTTTGGGAAACTTCCGCCGCCGGCTTGCCCGGGTCTATGTTAATAAAAACAGTAATAACAATAGTAATAATAAAAGCAATAATCGTAACACTAATAATAAAAGTAGTAGCACTAATAATAATAACAATACTAATAATATTGACAATAATAGCAATAATAAGTATTCCAATTGCATTGATAGTATTTCCATGTATTTCCCATGATTTCTCGATTTTTGACCCCGGCGATGCCCTCCCTTTTTTGCGGCTTCTTTATGAGCCGCTTTTTTTCGCACAACTCGTTGGGATCCTCCAGGAGTTGCGAGAGGCCAAGAAGAAGTTGAGCAAAGAATTGCAGCAGGCCCAGCGACAGTTGACCAAGAGCGAGCAGGAGGCGCTGCGCGATGCATCGATGCGCCATGCGCGGCGTTTTTTTTTGGGTTGGTTGGTGTGCAGTGAAGCGACCGGTGACTAGAAGTGGATGTAGGAAATCATCATAGATCTGGGTAAATTATAACGACCTCATTGCGACCTCACTGGAATCATGGGTAGGATTCGGGAAATCATCCCCAAATGGCCCGTTACATTTCAGGTGAGTGAATTATTATAATTTACCCAGATACATACAGGATGGTGCCCCCCAGTTATAAGTTGGTTTATAAACCCCATTAACTATAGTTATATCTGCCATAAACCATAGTTATGAGAGTTATAAACCAACTTAGCTAACTATGGGGCACCACCTTGTAGTGGTACATGAAGGAAACATGGGATGAAATGAAGCAGAATAGGCCGGGTATTTTTCATGGATCTACAATCGGAGATTTTTGGCGGAATTTGCCGCATTTTGGGGTGCAGAAGTATGAGGATTTTGATGGGTAGACAATGGGATGGTAATAAGCCATAAGCCCCATGTTTGTTGGGGTATGCCCCCACGTATCCGATATCCCATATCCCCAAGATGGTTGTTGGTGCTTATCCAATGAAATCCCATGATGAATCTGCAATTTCCATCCTAATTTCCCATGCTTTTGCCCAGAATTTCCGCGAATTTTTATCATGTTTTTTCCATAAACATGACGATTTTGGGGCCTACCCTCTGGTAATTTAACATAGCTATGGAAAATGGCCATTTAGTTCATTGATTTTGCTATTGAACATGGCAATTTTCCATAGCTATGTTAGATTACCAGGCCGGGTAGTCCCTCATTTGTTGGCTGATTTTCCCCATCCCCAATGACTCCCATGACACCACGGCAGGTGAACAAGTTGAACGGCCAACTTCAGCGTACAGAGCAGCAAGCGCAGCAAGCAACGGTCAAGAAGAACCGTGAAGGTGCTTTTTGTGTGGGCTGCTGGGCTCTATCTTCCAGTAACTTCCAGTAAACCAGCGGTTTGCGAACTGGAAAAATTGGAAAATGCCCTCTTAGTTTATGGATTTTCCTCTTAAAATGCTGGGTTTCCATTAGTTTATCAATGGGTTTCTGGGATGATTAAAGTCACCAATGGGATGGATGGAAATGGGATTAGCCTGAAAATGGCCATTTAGTTCGTTGATTTAGCCATTAAGAATGGTGGATCTATCCATAGTTATGTTAGTACGTTTACCAGAGGGTATAAATGGGCATAACATGTTATAAAATGTGGGGATATTTCTGATATACCCCATTTTTAATAGGGGGATGATACAGTCCATGTTTTGGTGGATGATCATCCGTTTGGAATTTTCGTTGAAACAACCAGTCGGAGGACATAACTCGGGTTTTGGACACTGCTCATGTGCCTAAAGTGTGTCCCAAGACCTTTCTCTTTTTTTTCTCCATAAAATGAGTTCTTTTTTGGGGCCCAAAAAGGTTGAGTTCAGCATCCTTTGGATGCGGGATTCGGAGCCCTGTTGGGATTGTTTAACAGCTTAAGTGGGGGGAACACACACACATATATATATATATATACAATATTAATAATAGTATATATATATATGGGATTATATTAACAAGGCAGTTGGTTCAGGAGTGAAATCTCATTTTCTTCGTTTCACTCGTTGACTTTTCCCTCACATGCTAAAACAATTCCAATTCCTCTGTTGACATCTCAATTCCTCTGCTTTTTTTTCATTTTCGTTGGTGAAACTTCACAGTGAAACACGGTGAAAATCCCTGGCGAAACACCCAATTCCTATGTCGTCTGAAATCGGGGATGAAAGTTGCCAAGGCTGCTTTTTTGTTATCCATCCCGTGAAATAATGCCACAACATATCAATATGCCATTCATTTTCTCTCTATATACCCTCTGGTTATGACTAACATAGCCATGGAAAATCACCATTTTTAATAGGTAAACCATCTATAAATGGGCCATTTTCCATGGCTATGTTAAATAACCAGAGGGTATATATATATATATTCATATTCAAATAGTTTTTACTCATAGTGATACTATTGATGGTATTCCATGTATTTTCCATATCAGGATATAGAATTAATTTTTACATATTCACATTCTTCTTGCTTCTTTACCCACTTTCTGGTAGGTGTCTTCTGGGGGGTCCAAACTGGCCGACATTCGTGACATCCAAGAAGGACGCTTTCCAAGAACATTTTCAACTGGCCAAACTTTTTAGGTTGGTGAATTGGTGTCATTTGTCCATATATAATATATATATATGTATATATATAATATATATATGTATATATATATAGATATATCATGTTATACCCATAGTTCTTGGTTGTTGTGGTCCGTCATATTGTTGGCCTTGGTTGGTTTTGGTTTCTTAGTGCTTTATGGCCGTATTATTGGGGTATATACCCTCTGGTTATTTAACATAGCCATGGAACATGGCCCATTTATAGATGGTTTACCTATTAAAAATGGGTGGATTTTCCATGGCTATGTTAGTCATAACCAGATGGTACAGTTATATACATATATAGCTGGGGTATTATATGGTCCTTACCATTTTTGCGGCCATGAGCCGCGATAGGATTACACAACTCCGATTGGAGAGGGTTGAAAATACTACCCATTGCTGGTTTTTCATTCGGGTGGTCTGTTCTTGGATTCATCACATCAAATACACGAATATTCCAACCCAGTGTAATATATTCCGATTATAATCTATAGATTTACTATAGCTGGATACATATCTGTAATTTTTTAACATATCTAGTTTTATGTATATATATAGATACACACACATGCGGTATTTCTCCAATGCACTTTTATGTATATATATATATATGTATATACATTTAGATACATATCCAGATGTGTAGGATGAATATAATGAATCATACAATGAATATACTGTGGATGGAAGAAAACCTGCACCAGTTGGTTGATGGTTTATCCCATGATAATCCCTGTATTTACAATGTTTCACAGTTACCAACAGTTAACAACAGGTCCATCCTCCAGGCGAAAAGCACGAGGAAGGCATTGGTCGCATCAGGACGAAGCACGGCAAGGTGCGGGTCACGGACCGGTGCGGAGAACCCAGGCGGCTCTAGGAGCATCCCATAGCAAAAAACCCAGAACAGGGTGGTTCTGACCTATGAAAATAGAGATTCCAGCAGCAATCATATGGAGATTTAACGTTTGAACATAGGGATTTTACCACTGAAAGCTGGGATCTAAGCATTGGAAAGTGGGAATATAACTACGATATAACCATGAACCCTATTACAAAAAGCTTAGGTTCTTTGTGGGTTATTGGGCTGGTTTTGCTGGGAATAAAACGCTTCATTCCAATATCCCAGTGTCCCAGTGAAAAGTGGGGTGCGTTTCCAATTTTCCCACTGTATATCCAAATCTGGGAGCGATGACGATCCTGAATGATGTGGGTAAAACAATGAACAAAACCACCCATGACTGGGAATGGTGAACATACCACCTATAAAAATGGTGACATTGGGGATGGTTTATGGCATTGTTTTACCAACATTAGTGACATGAACAATAGGTAAAAGCAGCCCAAACTTGCTGGGTCAATCAGCTGGATGGGTAGTTGCTGATCCTTTCATCTTTTGCGATGAATATCTCCGTGCACCAGCGATAACTTTGAGGCTCAAAGATGGACTTTGACTTCTTTGAAGAATATGATTCACATTATTATTAGTGATAGTTATCAATAAATCATCCAATAACATATGGAATATTTCTATAAGAGCATGATATGACTGTTCACATTCATTTCGATTGCTTTTTCCTCCCCAAATGTTGGTAAATCACTTATTTTCAACCGAGGAAGCAGGGATATCGTCAAGAATTAGAAAGCCACGGTTCTTGGATGGATTTCCAATCCGCTCCAAATCATTAGACTGGGGTCTTGGGAGCAACCCTGCTGACAATCCTCAAATATACGTCTAGAGACATCTTTGTATCTCTCTGTCTCTATAGGTTCTATTTCTGTGTCTCCATACATGATAGTTATGTTGTAAACAATTATGCTTCTGAGTATTTGAATGACCACCCCAAAAACATCAAATACACAATATAATATATATATATACACATTAGGCATTATACATACATGAATACAATCAGATATAAATACAACTGCAAATCAACAGATTTTGGATCACCCCTGCAACCCTGCGTGTCTCCAGGTGGGCGGCGTGCTGCGGGAAAAGATGGCGAACGTGGGCCAGGCGCGCGGACGCTTGGCGCACGTCCAATTCGCGCTGTCCATGTTGGAGAAGGTGAACCAGGGCCGGAGATGGGGGGCGATGGGGGTTGGGTTTTAGCCACTAGAGATGGGGATATACTAATATACTACGTGATGCATGAGTCATACATGGGGATTTTTTCCCATTTGTGGGCGTTTTTTTAGCGTGACACATATGGTATCATAATCCATTGGAATCCCGTCGAAACGACCAGTGGCATGACATAGCAAGGGTCTTCTTTTCGTTGGAAAATGAAAGAGAGGGGCTGGGAATTTATATTACTGATGTAGGGATATATAGTAATATAGATTAATTAGTTGGTTAATTGGTTCTATAAGATATGGCTAACACTTGGTTAATCAAATGACTCTATGCCCCTTACATGTTAGTTGGGGATTGACTCATTAACCACGTGGAGATTTCGTTCATTTCCATGTGGAATTTTGATGGGAATAATGTGATGGTGGTGGTAGTAGGGAGATGATATACAGTAACTTAGGATCGACCAATTCCAACGGGGGCTTTAAACATATTGCGATGGGTGAGACTCAGTATGGTTTTAAGCTGCCAGCAGGGTGATACCAAGAAAGATTAGGGGTAAAGGCCAGCAACAACCAGGATTCAACTTGATTCAACCAGTAAAGGTGATGACTTTGGAGTGTCATGGGGATTTTGTCAATATGACGGGGTGGAGATTGCCTGTAGTTCAGGTGGGGTGAAAGTTGAAGGAACACGGGGAGTTTTTTTTCCCACTAAAGATGGCGCGTCTGTATTTATGATATATCTTTCACGTTCATTATGTCAAATGTACCAGTTTTGTCCACATCTTGCAGATTACAAAACACTTATTCACAATATGTGCACCCTGCCACATGAGAGATTAAATAGGCTAAATAGGCATGTCATATGGGGAAGGCCTTCCCAAATACCATCCGGTAAGTTAACATTTTGCTATGGAAAAGCAGAAATTTTCATAGGTAAATAATCACTATCATGTAGATGGGCCATTGCTTCCCTGTTAAATAACCAGATGGTAAGTATTTTCTCTGCAGAAATGGAACGTCTTGGGCAGATTTCCCGTTTTTTTCAAGCAAAATCATATGGGTTGAGATTCCATCTTTGGGCCATACCATGTATCTCTGGGTTCAACACATAGATGTCCCGCAAGGACATGATGGGGGGGCCAGCATGTTCTTAGCTGAAAAACCATGGCTGGTACATTCCTTGGAAGTCTCCCAAAAACATGATCTATCCAAATATTCATGGCCATTTTCGCTGTTCCAATTGCTGTACATTGCTGTAAATTGCCCAGTTTAACGTTATTTTTTGTAGCTCCCCCCAAAGACAGATGTCCGTGCTTCCAGGATGTTATACCCTCTGGCCTCTGGTAATTTAACATAGCTATGGAAAGATCCACCATTTTTCATGGGAAAATCCACTATTTCTATGGCCATGGCTTCAATAGCTATTTTGACATAACCAGAGGGTTCCAGGTTCCAACTTTTCTATCGCTGCGCCTGACTTTGTCTCCAAAAATGCCCGGAAGGGTGTCATCAAACATGGCAATCTGGGAAATTTACTGTAAATGGAGGTTTATAGTTGGGAAAATCATCTATAAATGAGGGATTTTCTAGCAATCCATGTTTGATTACAACAGGGTTTTATCATTGTAAACCCCAGGCAGCCAGGCAGGCAGAATTTTATGTCTCCATCAAAGAATTCGCAGGTGAACATCTCCATGTTCTTCTTTTTCCTTGGTGATAGGCATTCCCTTGATGGATACAATCCCCAATACAGTGGTTGGTAGATAGTCCCCAAGCAAATCATCAACAACCAGCATGTATCACTACTTCTATCTCCAGTTTTTGAATGCTTAAAGACGCAACTCGATAATTGTGTTTGAACCGCAACTCGAGGATGGTGTTTTATCCCCATTCAAAAACCATCAACCAATCATCAACCTGTGCTGGAGTCCCCACCATGGCCCCCACAAGTAGGTTTGTAAACCCCTTTAGCCCTTAATTATGTCCCCCTAAGCACCCTCAGATAACCAATCAGTCGCCATTGTGATCATTATTCATCCACCATTACCCTCTGGTAATTCAACATAGCTATTGAACATACCCCATTTATAGTTGATTTACCTCTTCAAAATGGTGATTTTCTATAGTTATGTAAACGTTTACCAGGCCGGCTAATCCCCCATTTCTTGGCTGATTTTCCGCATCAATGACTCCAATGACCCCAATCACCACCAGAGGGTACCCTTTGGTAAACGTTTACATAAAACTATGGCAAGATCCACCATGCGTTTAATGGCTAAATCCACTATTTCGACATGGGCCATGGCTTCAATAGCTACCTTTGACATAACCAGAGGGTAATGGCCATTATTATCCCATGAAATCCCCATGAAATCGACAGGGCGTGATCATCCAAGTGGGTGAAGACCACAACCTGCCGCAACCCGCCTCCGCCGCGGCGCCGCCACAACGCCGCCGCCGCCGCGTGAGCGTGGGCATTGGCGAGGCGTTGGGGTCGGGGTTGACGGGGGGCAGCGGTAGAAACAGCAGGGCTTGAACCAAGCAGTTGGGATATAGATGGATACAGTGGGGATATATAAATATGTAATAATATATATATATATATACATATATATATAATAGATGGATATAGTCCATATGTAGTCAATCAATGTCAATCAGAATGGTAGTACACTTTTCTTTCCGCGATTCTAACACTGATGTTGAACAGAAACATGAGGGACATAAGTGCATGAGAAGTGGGTTTTTTTCCATTGCTAGGTCGGATTACGCAAGTGTACAGCATCGGGTATTTTCAAGGCCCCCAGAGTGGGGATTGACACTGGCTTAACGATGGATGATTTATTGTCACGGAAGGTACATGAAGTCTTTTGCTTGAAATAACTATCAAGTAGTTGATATAAGTATCATAGGTTCTTTGACTTAAAGGTAGTTGATATACTTGTTTATATGGAGATGTGTGCAAATTCAGGGGATTGGGAACAGCAGGTTCTACGTGTTATGGTTTTAAGTAAGCTATCATGCCAATCTCTTCGGCGAACATCGCACTCGGTCTTTGTCGAAAGAAATCTACGTTGTTTGTCCCGAGTTTCAGCAGCCATTTTTGTCGGTGAGTTTTTCGTTTTGTCGGAACATTCTTTGGGTTTAACAATCTCCGAATTTGCCAAGTGTCTTCACTTCAACAATTCAAGAGATGTATAAAACAACAATTCTTCACAGACACTTCAACAATTGGTGCTAAACATTTTCGGGAAATTTTCGGGAATGATCATCATTAGTAGCCTCTGGTAAATTAACTTGTTGACCCTGAAAATCACCAATTTTTAGAGGAAACTCATCTTCCAACCCCTACCAGGGTCTACCCCAGCAACCCATCCAGCAACGCTACGTCAGTCCCCAGGACGGCCAACCCATCGAGGTGGAAGAAGAGTACGATGAGACCGCCGAGGCGCGACGCGATGGGATGGGGATGGGGGGGATGGTGCCTTGCCACGGAGACGAGGCGGTGGAAAATGAACGGTGGCAAGGCTGGAAAAATAGGAAAATCATGGAAAAAACATGGAAGAATCATAGAAAACTCATAGAAACATCCAATTTCTGGTGTTTTTTTTTTTGATAGGAAATTCATCTATTTTGACATGGCTACTTTCCGTGAAGATGTTTGATTCGCAGAGGGTAAATCCGTTTCCTTGCATATGAAGCCGAGTCCGATGCAGGGATGACAACAATAATGTAACTGGGACAATGGGATGGGGGTGTTTAATATGAGGGGATGGGATTATTCTGAATAAGACAACAAAACCTGTCAAACTTTACACACACACACATATATATATATATATGTATGTATATATTTGGATAGGAAAACTATTTGTCAAACTTTACATATTTTGTTTCATGTTTGTGTTCAAGGGATTGCTTTGTGAGTCCTAGGCTCCACTTGGGCTTTGCGATGACGGTGATGATCATGATGCTGATGCTGGTGCCAAGAACAACATAACAACAATAACATCAATGATCATGGTATTTAGATGGGTATCATTTGTATCACCATCATGGTTGCGGATTAGTTCTGGATTTATGCTACACACAACACACGCATATATATATACATACATACATTGGGGATTATTATAATCCATGAACTGGGAATCCATTCTTAACCATCCATTGTAAAGGGACACCATTTCGGATTTTGAATACCGCTCATCAATTTTTGGATGATACGTCATTATGAATAGAAAATCGCATCTATCATTTGTCGTTATTGTTACGCTTGTAATGATCATGTATCATTGGATGATATTCATGATGTTCTTACCATGGCAGCATCATGATATCATCCATCATCATTATCATCTATAGAAACCATGTACCATTGGATTATGCTAGCCCATGATTCCCAACATTATAATATCAACAATGATATTCATTCATCAATCATTTGATATTTTAATGTTTTTAGTGGTAACGTACATAATCAAAAAAAATGCCAATATCATCCCATCATCATCTTATCATTGATCATTAACCATATATCATTAGATGATGATAACCCATGATTTCCGATGAGAATCATCCATCCAAATCCCGTTCCTCCAACCTCCGACCGACCGACAGATTGCCAGGAGGGCGATCCGCACACCGAAGGCGAAGAGACGTATCTCACCGCGGACATGCGCGAAGAGTTTGAGCAGCTGAAGGAGGAGCCATCGCATGGCGAGAGCTGGTTGTTTGATGATTTTTTCTTGGGGATTAATTTCCATGGGATTTCATGGTCTAATGGGATTTACCCTCTGGCTTAATAGAATTGAACCGGATTTACCCTCTGGTAAATTTTTACAGTTTGACCCTGAAAATGAGCAATTTATAGTGGAAACTAGTCTTCCAATCCCTATCTGGCAGGGTCTATGTTAATTTACTGGAGGGCATATACTAATACTGGGGATTAGATACTTGTAATAGTTTGGTGGTTGATACCCTTTAGATACTGGGGATTACAAGAATCCAAAAAAGTGAATCTTGTTCTTTTTTCTTTTAACCAGGCAGGATTATACTTGGAATGACAGGGATTTCGAACACTGCTCAGGTGTTTGTTGGGGACGCCCAGGCTATTTGACTCTTTGCGAACAGGACAATCACCATTTTTACCAGGCAAATCATTATTCTATCATCTATCAAATGCCATGGCTTCCATAGCTATGTTAAAAACCTACGGGAGGGGACATGAACAAATGTGGGATTTGAACAAAAGTACTGGTATGATTGGGGACATAATGAGATGGATATGGGATACAATTATATATTTAGGTTTTATTAGTATAAATGGGGCTTAAATAATGATGATGGGGGTTTTAAGCATCAACAATTGGGATTTTAGCCATCCAAGCTTTGGGTAAATCATGTGAAATCCACATGGGTCGTTTTCAGACACACATCATTTTGGGTGGCTTCAGAGTCCCTCAATTTCCAGCTACCCTTTAGCTATAAACCTCCATCTATAGGGGATGTTCAATTGCCATGTTTGATTACCGGAGGCTATTTTTCATGTTCCTGACCCTTGTAATCTCCGGTAAACCAAGCTAGCTACCTGGCAACGCCTACTGCCTAATGTGGATATCTCATCCAGAAGGCACTCCAGACTTGGAAGAAGACCCAGTTGATGTTCAGCTAAGCTGTGGTTTCCAAAAGACATCTTTCATTTTCATCCATTTTGCGCTGATTTTTTTCTCCCAGTTTGTTGCTGGTGAGCACACAATGATTGGTGGTTCCCAATTTCTTGGCTCAAATATCCTGTTTTTGTCGAAATGTGTGGAATTGACATATTTTTCCATGTCCAGATTCAATCTTCTAGATTCAGAACGTCCAAAGAATGTCCATCTGGATTCAATCTTCGATTTATCATATACCCTCCGGTAATGAGAGGTAGCTGTCGACAATGGCCCATGGGTAGTTTCATGAATTCCGGAAAAATGGTGATTTTCCAGTTTGTTCAATTTTCCCAGAGAGTAGCGACATTTTACCTGCAAAATCCTGGATTTCCCATGGATTTCCCATAGATTTCCCCTGGTGAATCCTTGGTGATCCCAAATTTTCCGCAGGAGAACCGCCGCCTGCGCGAACATCTGGCCGACTCGGATCAGCGCTGCGTCACGGCGGTGCAGCTGCTCCAACAGGCCATAGATTTCCATGAGATCCCTGGAAGATCCCATAGATTTTTTCCAACTTTGGTGATATTTTTAGATTTTTTTCATGAACTTTGGTGATATTTTTAGTGAGCTTCTGACATCTCCAATTTTTTCTAAATCAATATCCCCCAAATGAGGGGGATATATGGTATGATCTATGGCATGATATCTGGCATTTCCCTAATATGTTACCATTGAAGGGAGGTGTGAATTTTCACCGGGACATTCACAAATTGTTGGTGCCAGGCACAGGATGTGTTGGAATCGCGCGGTGGAATGGACACCTCTGAATTGAAGCTGCGCATGGAGGACATGGGATGGATGATAAGTCTTGGGGACTCAACGATGGGAGCATGGGGATGGAAGTAGAGTTGAGTTGATATACGCGATTTAATGGATGGTTGACGGGTTGTGATATGATTGATAGGGTCTTCTACTGTGTGGTTTATTGGGGATTATTTTTACCGATTGTGGGAAGTCCAATGGACCAACAAGTATATAAGGGTATGCGCGAGGGCTTTGAACACTGCTCAGATAAGGCAGCATTTTTTTTTGGATGGACCATTTGCTGGAAAGAGGAGGCCACTTAGTAAGCAGCTTTTTTTTCTGGTGGTCGGTAGCTAGGTAACATTCATGTGGGAGTCATATGTGGTAGAGCCATATGTGGTAGAGCCATATGTGGTGGGACATACATTTTTCTGTAGATAAAGGAACTTTTTACCGCCGTTCACATTTCCAGGGACCCATCTCCTCATCACAGGAGAAACCCTTGGAACTCACCATGGAGACTGCCAGCACCATGCACAGCAGCCGTGAAGAAAGCTGCCAGCCCTCCCCCACCGCCCCATTGGATGCACGCCCTGCCACACAGCCAGCCCTCCATGTGCAGCCGCCCAATCTGCCAGCTGCGCCCATGGGACCCATGCCGATGTTGGGTCCGGATGGCTTGCCATTGCCCAACTTGTTGGGAGGACGTGGGATGGATGGGAGAAGCCCTAAGAGATGAACTTTTTGGGGTCCCTGGAAAAAACACAGATGATGTTTGTCGCAGGGGTTGAGATCCCTTGAAGAAAAGGGATGATTTTTGATTTGGTGGTTGAATATGGTGTCAAAGACATTGTCACTGCGAGAAAAAACCGGTCGACAATGGTACTGACCATGTTGCCATCATCCCTGGTTGGGTTTGCGGTCACGGGATGATCGAGCGGGTCATGGTTTTCGACATGGGCATCCTGGTTTTTGGTGGTGGCAGCAGAATCATGTTGCCAGATGAAAAATACTTTGATTCACATCGAAAAACCAGGATTTTTCTGCGAAGTGCTGGGAAAATGACCATTGAACCCATTGTGCCAATGAAAGCCTCAACAAAATGCTGGAAACAACCCATCCTTGGCTTTCTTCTAACATTTCCCATAAGAAACCCATCCATGGACGCAGGACAGCGCCCCACTGAGAAGCGCATCTTCTACGCAGGCTCCACCCTGGGTCCCAATCGCATGGTGCGGCTGGCCCAGGGGCGGCGGACGGGAGCAGCTGAAGCGATAAGCGATGGGTCAACAGGTCAACATGACTTGGGGGGACCAGAGATGGCTAAGTCGTTTAGTGTTAAGATGTATCAACCATCCGATGACTTCACAGATTTAAAGATACTTATATAAGTCTAATCTAGTTTAGTATTAACATGTATTAACCATCTGATTAGCCATCTAGTGATTGGATGGTTAATCTATGTCATTGGATGGTTAATCTATAGTCACAGTAGTTTAGTATTCATAGTATTAACCATCCGATTGAAGTCTAGGTTTAAGTATTAACCATCCAGCAAAAAAAGGGGGATTTGACCAACTAGAAAGTTGACTTTACTAGCAGAAATGTGGTCTGACCAATAAGAAATGGCGGTTTAAGCAAGAAATCTGGTTATTCAACTAGCCAAAATTCGGGATCTATGATCTAAGTAGCAAAGAGTGTGATGTAACTACCAAAACATGTGATTTATGACCAGCAAAACATTGGATTTGACCAACATAAGTGTGTTTTGAACAACAAAAATATGGGGGCTTGCTCCGAAAAAACGAAAGAAAAATTAAGATCTTGGATCATCATCGATTTCACACGGCAAACCATACGACTGGAGATTTTTGGGATTCACCCACTGGATGGATTGGTGTTGCCAAAATCCCCACGGACTGTCCATGAAGAAACCGTTTTTTTTTTCCCAGTCGTTTGCACTGTTGCACTAAACCAATTTTCCGATATGTTCCAAAAGCAAAACACATGTAATTTATCCATATTTTTCTATCAAACATCAGCCAACATGATTCCAACCAACCAAGTTGCATCACCCTCCTGTCATCAAACATTGGGGCCGCTTGGGCCATCCCCAAAACCATGGGTTTCAATACAAACAAATGGTCGAATGACATGGATGATTTGGTATACCCTGTATTTTAGGAAACCCCCATATGGCCCATATGGGGAAAATCATGGAACGATTTCTGGTGGATTTTCTTTAGCCAATGGAGCTGATAGGGTAATGTCAAGCTTCCGCAGCAAGGTCAGTGGCCCTCCCCTTGCGGGCATGCCAAACCCCTTTGGCTATCAGCCCATGCAGTTGCCACAGGCCGGGCTGATTTCCGATGTAAAGTGCCGATGTGTCGGATCATAGGTGGTTGAGAACCAAAGTTATAGCCGGTTGATATGGATTTGATCTGGACCTATTTATTGGCTTAGTCCACAAGACTTAATACGTATAATTGGGCAGTTATAATTGGACTGTCTGTGCCTATCAAAAATAATTAGGTTTGGAACATTGCTGCCAAAAAATATGTATGGGCGAATTTCCACTTAGGAGACTCGGTAGTAGGTCGATCGTGAGCTTGTTCTGAGCAAGTTTCACTAGGTCACTAGGTTATGAGTATAGCTGAAAGGGACACCAGTTATAAACATTTATAAACCAGGTACGAACTGGGGGGAGAAATAAGCCAGAAAGAATTCACCGTAAACTACAGCGAGAATTCACCGTAAAGCATGCCCATATTGCCATGGGGTTGTCCAGGAGTCCAGCGTGCCATCTTAGTGCCAATGGGTGGCAGGGTAAAAGTGACCATTTTGATCCATTTTGACGCATTTTGTACATCATTTCCTGAATCGAAACACATCGATTTCCAATGATTTCCATTCCAAGTTCTATCATAGTTTGGAGATTTTGCCGAAGGCTCCATATTTTCTATTTCGATTTTCCATGAATCTATGTGACATCGTTTTCCAACGTTCACTTCCAACGTTCACTGCGGTTTTTTCCGCAGCCCGAGAAGCCACGCCAGGACCACACCATGCCGCAGCCCTTGGGTGCGACGCTTTTGGATGCTCGGCTCAGGGGATAAATCATCGAACTAAATGGGCCATGGCTTCCAGTTACTGTTGGAGATTGCCGGGACCAGGATCTACAAGTTTTTTTTTTGAATTAATTATCATAAACTTCAATGATACTGCAAATGATATATGATATATAAATGATATATAAAAATGATATATAAATGATATATAAATATGATATATAAATGATATATAAATGATATATAAATGATATATATATATAAAAATGATATATATATATAAATGATATATATAAAAATGATATATATATATAAATGATATATATATATAAATGATATATATATATATATGATATATATAAATGATATATACCAGTATATATCCCATGAGATTCCCGTTGTATTTCCATCACCGACTTTTGGGTGGCCACGTTACTTGATGGGGATGAACCACAAGTTGGATAATTCCAAAGGCGGAGAAGGATCGGATATTTGGGTAGAAAGAGATAGAGGTAGAGATAGAGATAGATAAATCTATATAGTATATATATATATAGTATATGAGTTGGATATATTTGGATAGATAGATATAGATATATCTGGGCAAATGATGGTGAATGATAGAGACCTCACGTCGTCACCGAACCCTGGAATCATGGTTTATAAGGAATCATCCCCAAATGGCCGCAGGTTGCAGGTTAGTGCATGCCCGGAGTCGAGTTAGTGGTTGAGAACTGACAGATTTTTGAACTTTTCAAAGTTTCTAACTAGAAATATTCCATTATTTTGTAGGTAACAATCATCTTCACTGGGATAATATAACTGACATATCATCTTGCGAACTTCATCTACCTGCGAGCATTCAATCATCACTGTGTGAACTAAGATGATTATTACACACGATTTATTGCTTGGTCCGGCACATCTTCGCAGATGCGAGTACTGGACACAGGATGGTATGGTGAATAGTCCAAAACCGCAGTGATGATATCCAGTATTACCCCTCGAACCCACATTAAACCCATATTAAACCCACATGAAAGTCATAAACCCATCAGTATTCCCAATTTATTGGAGAATTGCAATCATAAAGCCATGATAAAATGTTATATCCCAGCACATCCCATTTTATTCCCAGTAGATTTCCATGAACTCCCAGAAATTTTGTTGGTCAAATCATCATTTTCAACATGTAGAAATCAGGCACGCAAGTTGACCATGAAGGGCTGGTTACCCCGCTGGTTGATCATCATATGGGTATGGATCAATACCTATAAATACCATTTTTAGGGGGGATGAACATCCATTTACCAGCTATTTTGATTTTCACCAGGGGTACAAGGTTTTGACACACTGCCATATTCCTCTTTGAGATGGCCATAACTTGGCGTAAATCCCCAAAAGATGCTGAAGAGAGTGTTTCCAGGATGTGAGTTTGAGGATATTTTGCATCATTCCAGGGAAAGCCCACTTTTCCAGTCCCATGAAATAATCCATGACAAAAATTCATGAAAAAAAACCCGTGAAAGTCCATGAAACCTACTAACATCTATCCTGGTTGGTGGTTTAATTTTAGTAAATCAACTATAATACTATAAATAGCCGGTAAAAAGTAGATTACAGGTGGTATGGAAATCCCATTCCCAGTCATGGGTGGTCAATGTATGGCATTCTTTTACCTACATAAACGATGGATCCCTAGGCCTCCGCCAGCACCCCGGCCATTCGACCCATGAAGATGCCCTTGGCACCTTGGATTTCAGCGAAACATGGGGGTTTTAACCTTGGGAAAATGTGGATTTGACAACCGGAAACCATCTATTTTCTCAATTTTCCCATGACATATGGGGGTTTCTTTTTTGACGTTTTTCCCTTCAACCAATCCAGTGGAGTTTTCACAAGAAACAGCGGATGAATTGATCGTTCGAACGATGGGGATTGAACGATCAAACATTGGGATTTCTAGAAAAACTGGATCCATACCCTCTGGTAATTTAACATAGCTATTGAAAATGGCCATTTATAGTGAGTTTTCCCATTAAAAATGGTGATTTTCCATAGTTATGTTAGTTTACCAGAGGGTAATCCAAGTGATTGAACATTGGGGACTTGGCCTTGGATTTCTAACTTGGGGCACCCCTAAAATTTGGGCACTCAAGGGGAGGCAAATTTGGCGAAGATGTCGGGAGCGAACGGAAACGTAACTACAGAGCCACAGACCTCCAAGATTTTTTGGGGGGTTTGCGATCTTTTCGGTTTAGCGTATTCCAAAGCCATCCCCAAAATAGATGCCGAACAGTTGGAAACCTGGAAAATATGAGATACATATCATCGACACATATCTATACCATTCTGGAAACACTTTTCGGAATCTTTTTCGTAGCTACTATAGCATGATATAGCCTGATATACGAAATAACTACTGAAGGGTTGAACCATCAAACATGTCCCTCTGGTAAACTAACATAGCTATGGATAATAACCATTTTTAATGGGTAAATCAACTATAAATGGTCATTTTCAATGGGTAAATCAACTATAATACTTTGAATAGTCGGTAAAAAGTAGATTATAGCGGGTATGGAAATCCCATTCCCAGTCATGGGTGGTTAATTTATGGCATTGTTTTACCCACATAAACGATGATTTACCTATTAAAATCTGGTGGCTTTTCCAAGTGATTTCTGCGCAGCCAGGGACAGGAGCCCGTCGCCGTGCCAGCCATGCGGCAACCAATGCCGGTGCCGGGGTTTGGTGTTGGGGGATGGTGGTAAGGGAAACCACCAGTAACGGCTAGCATGGTTAGTATAGGTTAGTCGTAAGGGAAACCAACTCTTAATGTTGGAGGATGAGCTGTTAGTATGGGTTACTATAGTAATAGTTCATTGAGAAAGCACAATTCAAAGAAACAACGCCTCACCTGAAAGTCATTTCATATGTTTTTTTGAGGTGTTGGAATTATTCAAAGTTGCCCAGGTTTTGGAATGAATTGTTCTAAGTTTCCACAGAAAATCGGAGGGATTTACAAGCAACAGATGGGTACCGTACATGCATTGGGTTCTCCCAAAAAAGCCAGTAGATTCAGTCGATAGGTGAGGAGTGTGGTGGTGACCGAATTCAATGTCGTTTCGCGGATAATCCAATCTACCTTCCAGTAAACCAGCGGTTTGCTATGGAAAATGCCCATTTAGTTTATTGATTTTCCTCTTAAAATGGTGGGTTTCCATAGCAAACTGTTAGTTTACTGGAGGGTATGAGTGATATAAAACCTGCAAACAACAAGCGGACGGTGAATTTGAAGGATTCTGAAGAACGTCAAAGACACATGGAAATTTCGTCGGAGGATGGGAATAGATAGATCCCTACAGTAGCCCCTGATGGCAGCACTGCATGGATTGGACCCAATGGGAAGATGGGATGGTTTCAAAACCCCAATGTTAAAATGCGCCCATTTCATCTGTGGTTTTATAAGAAAACGTCATTAATGAGCAAAGGGTCTGCTATAATGCGAAATGGATGGCGGATAAGATTTAAAGTTTGTAGTTATGACATGGTATATCAGCAGCATTTTCTGCTATTTGAGCCATTTGTCAGGTGATACCCTCCAGTAAACGAACATAGAGATGGAACATCTTAACACTGGCGGATCATTCTGCGATTTCTCGATATCTTCAACCCCCGAAAATGGTGCAGAACATTTTTCATCGAAAATGGTGCTAGCCTCCGGTTTCATCAAACATACCAATGGAACATCCTCCCATTTAGATGGATGATTTCCCCAGCGAAATCTCAATGGCTACGAAACACATGTGGGGATTTCCCATTGCCAGGTTTGACTACCAACGAATGAAGTCTTGGGGATGGTGGGGATGTACATTGGCCAAGATTCTTAGCCAGGACCATCAAGTCCATCATTGGAAACGGAGCGTGTCTCATCTGGTTATGACTAACATAGCCATGGAAAGATCCACCATTTTTAATAGGTAACCCATCTATTTCTATGGGCCATCTATACCATGGCGAACTGTTAGTCATAACCAGAGGCTATTTCTACTTCACCGTTGGGATGTTCATCCTTTGTCATAGAAACCCCCCTCTATCCTGGAGGAAGTTCGAACAAACATTCACCGATACGGAAAACCAATGGAGAAATTCTTTCAGAATTTGATCTGCAAATGGTGGGATTTTCCATATTACTGCTGGCAACCATGATCGGATGAATCCCCCATCGGGGGTTCCAGCGGATCATCAACATCCGATGTGTGCGGCTGTAGAGGGTCGAGCCCTAAATTTAGGATAGAAGGTCCATGATATTCCATGATTGCATGATTCGAAAACCTTCCACCTGTTCCAATCTTCCCACTTTTCTAATGTCAACACTGGATTCATAAAACATCAGGAACCCCGGCTGTTAAAAATAGGGGTGGTACCATTTAAGTATCAGATTATGACTATTGCTGGTTGGTGGTTTGGAACATTTTTTATTTTCCATAATATATGGGATAATCCTTCCCATTGACTAATATTTTTCAAGATGGTTAAAACCACCAACCAGATTGAGGTTGACAAAAAATGGGGCCTTCAGAAGGTCTACGGCAGTTATCCCAAATCCTCTGGTTGATCGTTGCCCCATAAACAGGGCTGCTCCAAGCTATGGGTGATAGCCATGAGAGGTTGGTCATTTTACCTGCCCAACTGACCCCCCAAAAAAAGTAGGCTGTTTGGAGAAAGCCCTGATTTTTTCTTGCCATCAATTGGGGAAAGAAAGCTGGTTGGTGGTTTGGTTCGCATGAATTTTATTTTTCCATTCAGTTGGGAATGTCATCACCCCAAGTGATGAACTCATACAGGGAACTATTTTTCAGAGGGGTAGGCTCAACCACCAACCAGTAATGGTTATATGGCACATCTGTAACTTAGAATGTGGTTTTGGAAACCGCCGCCCCACCGGAGAAGCCAAAACTCACGTTTTGGGCACCTTCTACTTTTGAAATAATCTTCCCACCACGCTATGTGCGAACGGTTTGACACTTAGAATGATGCAAAAACATCATCAAAAAATTCTGCACCGGTCATTTTTTTAAATTTACTGATATTTAGAAGGTTTTCAACACTTAGAATGTGGTTTCTTCATGTTTCTCCGGGAACAATAGGGGAAAAACAGGGAAATAATAGGGAACAATAGGGGAAAAATAGGGACATAATAGGGAACAATAGGGGAAACATGGGGAAATAATAGGGAACAACTAGGGACATAATAGGAAAATAATAGGGAAATTTCTGGTTATAGGCTTGTAATGCTGAAAGTGGTGACCCTTCACAGGTTTTGCCATCTTTCTGGTATACCACCATACCATACCATACCCTTATCCCAGGATCAGTAGTTACTATTAGTTACTATAAGTTTCCCCGTGTATTTCCCTAGTTGTTCCCTATTATATCTTGCAAAGACAGTTGAAACAGAGTCATTCTAAGTGTCTAAGTTTATTTTTTTGGAAACCTGGGAGGCATATGGGACAATAATAGGGTAAAATAAGGAAATTATATATATATATACAGGGAAATAATAGGGCAAAAATAGGGAACTAAGAGGGAAATAATAGGTAAATAATAGAAACAATAGGGAACAATAGGGGAAAAATAGGGTATTAAATAATAGAGAACAACTAGGGAAATAATAGGAAAATCATAGGGAAATAATCTGGTTATATGCTTGTAATGCTGAAAGTGGTGACCCTTCACAGGTTTTGCCATCTTTCTGGTAAACCACCATACCATACCATACCCTTATCCCAGGATCAGTAGTTACTATTAGTTACTATAAGTTTCCCCGTGTATTTCCCTAGTTGTTCCCTATTGTATCTTGCAAAGACAGTTGGAACCACTTTTTTGGGGCTGCAAAAGTGTTGCAATTCAATTTGTGTGTTTTTGCAGGTTTCATACATTTAGCATGACCGTCGAAAGGGTAGCAAGTGGATGAACAAAAAAGTGAGAATAATCTGGAAGGGTCATCATTTTTGGGTTTCGATAGTCGTTTTTTGGGAAAATGTCATCAAAAAACAGTGAAATCTAGAATTTTGGTGGGAAATCAAATTATGTGTATTTTTCAAGGTTTCAAACATTTAGCATGACAGTCGAAACAGAGTCATTCTAAGTGTCTAAGTTTATCGTTTTGGAAACCTGGGAGGCATATGGGACAATAATAGGGTAAAATAAGGAAATTATATATATATAGGGAAATAATAGGGCAAAAATAGGGAACTAAGAGGGAAATAATAGGTAAATAATAGAAACAATAGGGAACAATAGGGGAAAAATAGGGAAATAATAGGGAACAACTAGGGAAATAATAGGAAAATAATAGGGAAATAATCTGGTTATATGCTTGTAATGCTGAAAGTGGTGACCCTTCACAGGTTTTGCCATCTTTCTGGTAAACCACCATACCATACCCTTATCCCAGGATCAATAGTTACTATAAGTTTTCCCCGTGTATTTCCCTAGTTGTTCCCTATTATATCTTGCAAAGACAGTTGGAACCACTTTTTTGGGGCTGCAAAAGTGTTGCAATTCAATTTGTGTGTTTTTGCAGGTTTCATACATGTAGCATGACCGTCGAAAGGGTAGCAAGTGGATGAACAAAAAAGTGAGAATAATCTGGAAGGGTCATCATTTTTGGGTTTCGATAGTCGTTTTTTGGGAAAATGTCATCAAAAAACAGTGAAATCTAGAATTTTGGTGGGAAATCAAATTATGTGTATTTTTCAAGGTTTCAAACATTTAGCATGACAGTCGAAACAGAGTCATTCTAAGTGTCTAAGTTTATCGTTTTGGAAACCTGGGAGGCATATGGGACAATAATAGGGTAAAATAAGGAATTATATATAGGGAAATAATAGGGCAAAAATAGGGAACTAAGAGGGAAATAATAGGTAAATAATAGAAACAATAGGGAACAATAGGGGAAAAATAGGGAAATAATAGGGAACAACTAGGGAAATAATAGGAAAATAATAGGGAAATAATCTGGTTATATGCTTGTAACGCTGAAAGTGGTGACCCTTCACAGGTTTTGCCATCTTTCTGGTAAACCACCATACCATACCATACCCTTATCCCAGGATCAGTAGTTACTATAAGTTTCCCCGTGTATTTCCCTAGTTGTTCCCTATTATATCTTGCAAAGGCAGTTGGAACCACTTTTTTGGGGCTGCAAAAGTGTTGCAATTCAATTTGTGTGTTTTTGCAGGTTTCATACATGTAGCATGACCGTCGAAAGGGTAGCAAGTGGATGAACAAAAAAGTTAGAATAATCTGGAAGGGTCATCATTTTTGGGTTTCGATAGTCGTTTTTTGGGAAAATGTCATCAAAAAACAGTGAAATCTAGAATTTTGGTGGGAAATCAAATTATGTGTATTTTTCAAGGTTTCAAACTTTTAGCATGACAGTCGAAACAGAGTCATTCTAAGTGTCTAAGTTTATCGTTTTGGAAACCTGGGAGGCATATGGGACAATAATAGGGTAAAATAAGGCAATTATATATATATAGGGAAATAATAGGGCAAAAATAGGGAACTAAGAGGGAAATAATAGGTAAATAATAGAAACAATAGGGAACAATAGGGGAAACATAGGGAAATAATAGGGAACAACTAGGGAAATAATAGGAAAATAATAGGGAAATAATCTGGTTATATGCTTATAGCGCTGAAAGTGGTGACCCTTCACAGGTTTTGCCATCTTTCTGGCAAACCACCATACCATACCATACCC